GATATGCAGAGCCTGCTCCAGTCCATATTTTGTTGAAATTAATTTTCACTGCAGTGGGATTCTCCCAATATAACCCTCAAACTGGTCCATAGATTTTGGGTGGGTGGGGGCTCTGGTGAGTTACCTGGAAAAGGGCTGTAAGTGGGTAAGACAGAGGTAGAAAAGCCAGTTACAAGTAAAACTCAACTTGTGCAAAGCTGGATTCTCCCCTCTACTCCCTCCATCTCTCCTCATTACAATGTACAAGTCAAAACTTACCAGTCTGTCTGTCCTTTTCCACACAGTAGCAGTTGTCATAGAATTCAGTAAAGGTAGTGGCCAATTCATAGAGATAGTCACAGAGTGCATGTAGTAAAAGGTCATCCAAGATCTTCTGAATAACCTCGGGGAACCTCAAAATGCACTTCCCTAGCTTCCATTCTTTTTCATGGTCCAAAATTATTCCTGTTGTTCTAGCTGCCTTCTTGAGTGTCTCTTCATCAATATTGGCCAGCCTTGCTATTGATCTGTCATAGAAACAAATCTCATGTATTAGAATGTCCCAGAATTTATTTGAACTTCACAAAGATTAGTTTTAGCAGAGACACTACCAAGAAAACTGGATCTCAGCAGAAAACTTTTTTTACCTGATTCGAGTGAAGGCATAAAGTAAATATGCTGCTGTATTTCCTCTGTCATCCAGCATTTTGTCAAAAGAGAAGATATAATCATTTATTCTATTATGGGAAAGATCGGCATACTTAATGCAACCAAAAGCAACGGAGGTTTGGGCTGCTTTCAGTTCTTCAGGTGTCAGAACCTGTGAGACAAATAAAATACATTATATCTAGATATAGAAAGCTGTAAAAGAAAGTACAAAACAGAAGAGAGGGAAGGAGTGAACATGTACAAAAAGCCCTAGAGTAAGTGTACAGCAGTAACTGAAGTGGACCTGAGGGGAAAGGAAACACACTATAGCATTACAACAGATTTTAACACCTGGTGAAGAAAGAGAAGATTTAAAACTTTTTAAAAAATAATCAAGGACCTCTTCCTTGCTTGATTATATTTATTATGTGTAGTACTGCTGCCGTGCTGAGAGCAAGGAAGGAGAGAGGTGGGTGGCTTAACAGTATACTATACTGCTTTTGACACATGATAACAGTTTTTTGCTACTATGTTGCTCTTTCAAAAACTGCTTTGTTAATTCTTGCATTCTCTCCTGCCCAGTGCATCCTTTTAGCTACATAGCAGATGACAAAAACAAAAACTAAACAAACAAAAAGTGTAATCACAGCCACCTGACCCTGTAGAGTCCGTGAGGGAAGGCGATTTCTTGATGGGACCTGCTTTAAGTCTAACAGAGTAGGGTGGAAAGCATGCATTGGATGAATCCGACTCTTCCATAAACACTGCAGCGAAAGAGCCACCTCGTAACAGGGCACAATGCTAAGTAGTATGCAAGACAGAGGTGGGCAAAGTGGACCCCTACCGATATCAACTGGGTTGCAACTCTCATCACCCTCTGCCAGCAACGCAAAGGATGAAATATGATGGAAGCGGAAGTCCAATATCAGGAAAGCCACATGTTGCCCATCCCAGGTGTAAAGGAAACTCACAAAAAACATCATTTTGGGTTGACTTTACAAGTTACCTGGAACTATTCAAAGTGGTTAAAAAGTGGGGCGATACTGTGTGAAACTTTGAACTCATTAAGTTGAGAACAATTACAGATGTGATGGCAAGGGCAGGCAAATTGTAACCCTACAGATGTTGCTGGGCTGCAAGTCCCATTATCAGCCTTAGCCAGCAAAGCAAGCGGTAAGGGATGATAACAGTTGTGATCCAACTGTATTGGAAATGTCACCAGTTGTTCACTCCTGGAGTGACGTATTAAATGGCTTTAGCCGTTCAGATGAACACTCAATGCACAAGGAGCCTGAAGTTGGGTTTTCTAAACTGTCATTTGATGTTCTGCTGCCCTCTGCTGGACATATGCCTTATTTCTCACATGCCTCCCCTTTTCATTTGCTTGGGAGCACATGCTTTTTGCTTCAATATAGGTAAAGGTACCCCTTGAAAATTTGTCCAGTCGTGTCGGACTCTAGGGCACGGTGCTCATCCCCGTTTCCAAGCCATAGAGCCAGCGTTTGTTTGTTCATAGACAGTTTCTGTGGTCACGTGGCCAGCGCATCTAGACACAGAACGCCGCTGCCTTCCCACCGAGGCGGTACCTATCTATCTGCTCACATTTTTACATGTTTTTGAACTGCTAGATTGGCAGGAACTGAGACAAGTGACGGGAGCTCACTCTGTCACATGTATTCAATCTTACCACTGCTGGTCTTCTGACTCTGTAGCACAGAGGCTTCTGCAGTTTAACCCGCAGCGCCACCACGTCCCCTAACAATATTAGGACAATATTAAATGCATTAGAATATATGATAAAATAGACCCAAAATGTGAGCTACAATATTAATTTAAGGTCATGGTTACAAATATGGGAAGGTAATATTAATGCTAACAAAACTAATTAATTAAACAGAAAATATGTATAAGATGTCCTATAGATGGTATATGACACCTGAAAAATTATCAAAATATATCAAAGTACCTCTAACAAATGTTGGAAATGCAAATCAAAAGAAGGTAGCTTTTATCACATGTGGTGGATTTGTAAGGAAGCTAAGAGCTTTTGGAAAGTAGTTCATGAGTATTTACAAAAAAATGTTATCCTCTATAATTCCATATGTACCTCAAATGTTTTTGTTAAATATAATACCAGACTCATTAGAAAAGATCAGGATTCTGACATGAACGAGACAACTGCACAGCTGCTTCTGCATTACACAGAGTGGGAAAGTATGCAAAAATAGTGCTGTGTACAACAGAACAGCACCAGCTTTGTTGCACAGCTGTGAGGAAAATGGTAACACTGTGAAAATCACAAAGAGAAGATGGCAGGTGCTGAATAAATAAATAAATATTACAAATGAAGTTACTTGGGAGTAAAGAGTATAACCCAGTATGACATGTACTTAAATGATAACGTATCTTATTTTAAAACCTTATTTGCAGGGAATGGAAGTGACTTTATTCAGTCCTCTCCAGGCCCAGCATATCCATATTAGTACAGTACAGTGGTGCCTCGATTAGCGACGTAAATCTGTTCCAGGAAAAATGTTGCTAAGCGATTTAATTGCTAAGCAATTTTAAAAAGGCCATAGAAATGCATTAAAACATGTTTAATGCATTCCTAGGTGCTTAAAAACTAACCTTATGCGAAGATCCTCCATAGGGGCGGCCATTTTCGGTGCCTCTAAAGCGAGGCAAAACAGCGGGCAGCCATTTTGTTTTTCCGGCGGCCATTTTGGAACCGCCAATCAGCTGTGCAAAAAGGGTCGCTTTGCCATGATCGCTTCCCCGCAATCATCGCAAAGCGATTTCTCCCCATAGGAGCCATCGCTAAGCAATCGCTCTGGTGATGGCTATAACCCCATCGTTAAGCGATTTCATCGCTCAATGGAGCGATCACTAAGCGAGGCACCACTCTACTTCAATGCTAGAAATCAGGTTCAGGTTCACTTAAGGATTCAACTACTGACTTTTTTAAACAAACAGGGCAAAAGCATAGGATGAAGGTGCAGTTCCTGTCTATGCACAGGATTGACTGCCATACACTTCATGCTTTTTCTTCTCCTAGGAGCACACTAGCAAAGTGGTGGTGAACTGCTTCCTATGAAGAATGATTAAGCCATAATACTGTAAAAGCCAATTGTGGCTGCAGTTGATGCAGAACAATCAGATCAGCTGGATGCCACAGTCAGAGCCCGAAGTGGGCATCATCTACAAAACTGCATGATTTTCTCTCTCTCTCTCATTCCACCCCAAAAAATTTAGGTCAAGGGCCGTAAGGTGGCCTGTGACCTCTCCTCCCAGGGCACTGCCACCTTTGCTCTAGAATAATGGTTCCCAACCTTGTCCCCAGATGATAAAGGACACCCTGACACTCCTCCAGCAGACCTTTCCAGAAGACATCAAGGCCCTTTCCCAACACTACTTAATGACCAGCTATTTTCAGTGGGATAATTTCTATGAACAGACAGATGGAGTGGCCATGGGGAGCCCCCCAGCCCAGTTAGAGCAAACTTCTACGTGGAACATTTCGAAAAGAGCAAATTTCTACGTGGAACATTTCGAAAAACAGGCCCTGGCTTCGGCACCCTTTGCACCCACATTCTGGTTCCGATATGTGGATGACACCTTCACAATTTGGAACCATGGTGAATTAAAATTGGAAGAATTTCTAAACCATCTCAACAGCATCCACCTAAATATACAATTCACCATGGAAAGAGAAATAGAGCGTCAACTCCCTTTCTTACTGACCTCCGACTGGGACACAAAGTCTATAGAAAACCCACCCACACAAACCGGTACTTACACAAAAACTCCAACCACCACCCACAGCAAAAAAAAAGAGGCATAATCAAAACACTGGTAGACCGTGCAAATCGGAACTGTGAAGCTCAATTTCTCAGCACTGAACTCAACCATCTGAATTGGGCCCTACAGGCAAATGGCTACTCCAAAAATTAAATCACAAGAGCCATCAAACCAAGAAAACAACACCAAACTGAAGAGGAAAAACAGCCACCCACAAATAAAGTATTTCTGCCATACATCAAAAGGGATCACGGAACGTATGGGGAAACTTTTGAAAAAACACAACCTACAAACAGTATTCAAGCCCACCACAAAAATACAACAAATGTTACAGTCAGCAAAGGACAAAAGGGACCCCCTCACCATTATAGGAGTATGCCAGATACCTTGCAGTTGTGGCCAGGTATATATTGGAACCACAAAATGCAGCATCCATACCAGAATCAAAGAACATGAAAGACACTGCAGACTAAAACAACCGGAAAAATCAGCAGTAGCTGAACATGCCCTAAAACAAGCTAGACATGAAATTCTATTTCAAAATACTGAAGTACTGGACAACACCAGTAATCATGTTAGACTGCACAAAGAAGCCACTGAAATCCATAAGCACCCGCAGAGCTTCAACAAAAAGGAAGAAAGTTTAAAACTCAACAAAGCCTGGCTCCCAGCACTGAAAAATACAGCCTGCAAAAGGTCAGCAAACTCCATCCAGCTACAAGGACTGGTGATCATTGCACACAAAAGTCCAGCTAACAACACCTATCAATCACAGTGATAGATCATCTCTTCCTCTTATCACAACAATACATCCACAACAAAAAACATGCTGATCACAACCACCCATCTTCTGAAAAGGACAAAAGCTGATCCCACAGCTATAAATACTCAACTACCCAAGCAAACTGCACCAGAGCACAGACAGAGTTCTGACTCCTGTCCTCTGAAGATGCCAGCCACAGAGACTGGCAAAACATTAGGAAGTACAACCTTCAGAACACTGCCAAAGAGCCCGAAAAACTCACAACAACCATCCCCAGATGTTCTTGGACCAAAACTTGCACCACTAGCTTTCTAGATTTCTGGGGCCCCACAGTTGGGAATCATTGCTCTAGACGGTGTGAAATGCTCTTGAGAAGCTTCCAATGCAACACTTAGACCTGTAGATGAAAGTGGAAATCTGGCAGTTCTAATATGCAAGCACATACAATACTCTTGAACACATAAGAACAGATTATTTAAAGTATAAAAGCACAGAGAATACACTTTGTGATCATGGACAACCAATTCTCCAATCATGAATACCAAGCCTTTCAGTGATCACCAACAGCAGCAAAAGAAATTATATGTCAACTTACTTGTCTTCTCCCAACACAACACCAAAAGAAGCATGAACTACTCTGGTCACCTTGGGGTCATACCAGCCAATCATCTGAGCTGCAGCAAAAATTGTTTGCAAGTGCATAGACTGCAAAGCAAAAGGAGATTAATGAAGCAGGTCTTAATTCTACATGTGTTCCTGGTACAGGATAAGCCACCATAATGATTAAGGCCCCCCAAACTTTTTTTAAAACACTAGTGCACAATGGGCTGAGAGGCACAGTAGTAAGTTCCTTTTCGTTTTGGCATTTGTGCAAGGGGTTGTCACTACTCCTCACTCAGACGCCCCACTGTATTCAGCAGGAGATGTTCAGCTTGCATAAACGCAACCCGAAGCTCCCACAGAGCGCTCCTCCTAGGAGGACCAGCCTTTGGAGAGAATCTTACCTAACAAGATTCTCTCCAAAGGCTGGTCTACAGGGGAAGCATGCAGGTATGGATTGGCTCACGGGCTTTAGTTACCTTATTAAATAATTGTGTTATTTTATTGTCACTGCTTTCTAGAATTCTTTAATAAGGAGGCTCAAAAAAAGTTTAAAATATGGTGTGGATGTAATTTATAGAGCATCCTGCTTCAGGACACCAGGATGAACTGCCAGCCAAGGAAATAAAGGAAGACAAAATGAAAGTCAGAGAAACTCACCTGTCCACTATCTACTACATAGATTATACCGTCAGCTTTTTCTTCCAACAGCCTCTGCTTTATTGCTGCTAAATCAGATGTGTCATATGTGAACCCTCCATCTGATTTCACAATTGTCAAGGGAATAGAGCAACCTGGAACAAAGACAATCTTCCGGCCATCATCCACTTGTACAAACCCTAAAAACAGAGAGTGATAGCTTGGTAACAGAGGTATAGAAACCAAAGAACATTTTATACTGCAGAGTGATGTGCAAATTAAAATGGTAATGGAAAAGCACTGAAGAAATAACATGGAAAAACACAGTGTAGAATGTGGCCCGCTTTCAAAAGGCTGTGAGGACAGTTATTCTGAGAGAAGGACCTGCAAGTTACCTTGGCAAATGAATACTCCAGTACCTGTGCTACTGAGATAACATAAAGATATGGGTGGAAGGGGTGCCATCAGAGGTGAGAATCAGCAGGAAAGACAAATAATTTAGTACCTTGCACCTGGCACATCTCTCCCAGGAAGCCTTACCCACCAGTGGACCTAACAGCTGCTTTCATGAGTGGCATATAGAAAAGACTGAACATAACTAGAGATGGGGGTTTCTTTGTATTCATATACGGATATCCCTGCACAGGCAGCAATAATGAGGGTCCAGCCCCATGGATCTGCCGCTCACTGATCTGCCACTGATTCTTCCAATGGCTCTGCATATCATGATCTGCGAGCCACTCTTCAACCTTGCAGCGAGATTTGTCCTGCCGCCTCCTGCCAGGAATGGCTAGCTGATCACGATCTGCGAAGCCATTGGAAGAATCATGGCATCCGCGGCACCTTCCCTACAGGTTTTAGAAGTCACATGGACCAAGGCAAATACTTCAGTTTTTTTTTCCAGTTATAACAAATGTGTTACCTCTTTTTTCAAACTCGTTCACGACATCGCACATCTTATCTTGATAGTAAGATTCTCCTCTTTCTATTAGGGAGATATCTAAACAGTCATAGATTTTTTGGAATTCTAACCACGGAAGACAGTGAAATGAAATAAAAACACAAGAAAATGAAGGATTAGTGACACTGGTTCTTGGCAAAAATAATTATTAGCTTCACAGTAAAATAATAGGAATGAAGGTTTATTAAAGACATTTACTGGATTTACATCCAGTTTCTTAAGCCACTGTTAAATTATCTAAAGATACTGTATATATCCACTTGTAAGTAAGACTCCCTGAATTCAGTAGAGCTTATTCTCAGTTAAGTAGAAATAGAATTGCAGTTTAAGACTCCTTCACAACCCCCTATATCAGAGATGGACAATACTGAGCTTACAGGCCACACAAGGGCCTCTAGGATCATTTTTGTGGCCCTCAAGTTCAACGCAGTCTTCCCAAGCTTAAACATGTAATCATCTATTGTTGTTAAAAAAATATAAGACTTTGACTGGTATTATATAACAGATACAAGTTTTAACCAAAACCCTAAGTATCAGTAAAATATTGGTGTGATGTGCATGGTGTTCCTAATTACTGCTGGGTTTTTTCTGCAGCTTTGATAGTGTTATTTCAGAGACCTGCAGCTAATTATACTATTTTATAAAATTCTGTGGCATTGTTCCCAATGTCCCGATGACTATGGGGAACATTGAAATGTGTTTCATTCATTCACAAGTGAGTTGTTTCTATTTTCAACTCTCTGTATTTTGTTAATTTTCAAATTCCTCATCTTCAACTCTGGCATCCTTTGGAACTGCAATGTCAATTATCCAGACATTTCTTCATTCTATTACTGTCATGTCTGGTGTATTATGCTCAAGGTGTCCCCCCTAAGATCTCCCACGCTATCCTATATCACATTACAAAATGCACGACATTCAATCATAGAATCTTAGAAAAGTGATGTTGGAAGGGACCTACAAGGCCATCAAGTCCAGCCCCCTGCTCAGTGTAGGAATACAATCAAAGCATATCTGCCAGGTGATTCGCTAAATTTTTCTTGAATGCCTCCAGTGTTGGAGCACTCACCAGCTGCCGAGGTGACTTGTTCCACTGTCATACTGCTCTAACAGTTAGGAAGTTTTTCGTGATATTCAACCAAAATCTGGCTTCCTTTACCTTGAGATGTGGGCAGTCAGGTAAGGGGAAAGCTAAAGAGGTAACCAATAAAAGAACAGAATGTGGCTGAAGGAATATGACTCCCTGTAAGTGCCATCTCTGAGCAAGGTTTTAAAAAATGTCTACATGGAGATTTATGAAGTGAAAAATTCTTGCTTTCTTTAGCCAAGCACCACCGTTAACTGATCTGATACTTGGGCTTACTGTACTAATTAGCACTTTGTACTAATTAAAGGACAAAGTAGTTTGAGTCTTCAAGTGTTTTTTCTCTTCTGGTTTTTTTACTGCATGGCTTCTCCCTCAGCAGAACAGGGATTCCTGTACCTTCTTGCTTCTTTCAGATTTTCAGGAGTTATTACCCTGTTTCCCCAAAAATAAGACAGGGTCTTATATTAATTTTTGCTCCAAAAAATTAGGGCTTATTTTCAGGGGATTTTTTTTTTCATGTACAACCATCTACATTTATTCAAATGCAGTCATGTCATCTTCTGGTTGCTGCACAATGGTGGAGGGCAGGGGTTTATTTTTGGGGTAGGGCTTATATTACAAGCATCCTGAAAAATCATACTAGCGGTCATTTTTAGGTTAGGTCTTTTTTTCAGGGAAACATGGTAGTAAGCCAGAATTTTTCAATGGCTAAATTTACACTACATTAAATATTGCAAAAAGTTTGAGTCTTTATCAGCATCAGGCAAAAAAATTATACAGGAGTATAAGGAGTCTGACAGCAATATTTTTAATTAACACAAAAGGCAAGCATTCCTATTATTCCCTCTTGTTGACCAGTCTCTTAACAATAAAAAGATCTGACAGGATCAAGTTCCTTCCTCAGCAAATAACTGCTACACAAAATAGAAATTACAATAACACTTTACAAAGCATGGTAAAAGCACATACCAGCTACCACAGAATACCCTAAAACCAACTCCATAGTGGCATGGCACCACATTTCATCTGCACATATGGAGCAAAAGGACCATCTGTGCTGCCATTTCTTACCCATCTTCTCTTTCTCACTCACATGGGTACAATATGTACCCAATCATCTTGCATGCATTTTATACAAGAGCTATACAACAGAGGAACTTGCAGCTAACAAAGTACATATCTCTCAACTCTGGAACAAAATACAAAGTGCTCCATACACTTTTGTGATGGGGACAGTTACGTCCTGTCTACCGCTTAAAGACAACTAAATGGTAATTTAACATCATGGCAGCCTTAACATGTCAAAGCCAAAAGGAGATGCCTTATTTTCTTACATACAAATCTTCTACTCAAGACAGAATGAAAAATGTAGCAAAAACAATTTATGGGAAGACATACGGATTGTGTCCAATAATTAAGAATAAGTACACACTATCTATTTTAAAGGGATGTGATGGTGCTGTAGGTTAAACCGTAGAAGCCTCTGTGCTGCAAGGTCAGAAGACCAGCAGCCATAAGATCGAATCCACACGATGGAGGGAGCTCCCATTGCTTGTCCCAGCTCCTGCCAACCTAACAGTTTGAAAGCATGTAAAAATGCAAGTAGATAAATAGGTACCATCACGGTGGGAAGGTAACAGCATTCCGTGTCTAGTCGCGCTGGCCACGTGACCACGGAAACTGCCTACAGACAAATGCTGGCTCTATGGCTTGGAAATGGGGATGAGCACCGCCCCCTAGAGTCGGACACGACTGGACAAATTGTCAAGGGGAATCTTTACCTTTACCTATCTATTTTAAATAAATACATTACCTCTCCTCACAGGGTTCATTGTAACTAATAAAATACAATAAAAAGAAGAACGTTTCTTGTGCAAACAAATCAAAACAACCTATTGTGCAGGAAAGTCCCACATTGTTGAAGACTGACACTAACAGCCTTTGGGTTGAACAGACTGACAGCCTCTGTACTGAATGTGGCCTTTTTTGTGCTTCCAGCAGTTATCTACAGAGCAGCCATTTCTTGAATGCCACCTTACATCTCACAACATGAACATTTTCATAGTTCTCATTTTTTTTGAAGTGTCCAGTATGAAAAAGGAGACTTGTTAAAAAGATAGTGATAGGATATTTCCAAAAGTCACCTTTCCGGGATACATCGCAAATCAGTTTCCAAGCCTTAATGAAATCTGGATTTTTGCTCTGTAATAGGACCACACACTGGTATGCACGCTTCTTAAACTCCTCCTCTGTATCAAATCTTCTTTTGGATTCCTAGGTTAAAAAAAAGACAGACACACCACAGAACAGTATGCTTCACAGCAGATGTGGGCAATTTGTGGCCCTTCAGATATCCTGAACTACATCTCCCACAATCCCTTATTGGTTATGTTGGACGGTGCTAAAGGGATGCCTAAACAGCAGCAGAGCCAAAAATCAGATAGCAGGGGCCTTCCCATAAATTGTTCCATGGTAGTTAGTGGCTGTCATGTAAGAATATTGCAACACGCTCATTATAGCCATAACTCTTTTCCACCAGAATACTGCCTTCTGGTCTTAAGATTGCCAGGATGGGACCTGTGGAAACTGGTATTGTGCACATCATCTAGCATCTTCTATGGCATCACAGGAATCACCATCTATTTGAAGATTAGAAAATACCTTATAAAAAGCTTGAAGATCTCCAATGGGGGGTGAAACAGTCAAATAATCTGGGAATTTATCTTGCAAGTGAGCAATCAGCATTCCAAACTGGGTGCCCCAATCTCCTAAATGGTTTAATCTAGACAGGAACAAGCACAAAACCAGTGAAGAATGCAAAAGGGGACTGAAAGCAAAACTCAGATAGGAAATAATGACATTTAAAAAGCTTGAACAACATGCCTCATTCAGGTCTATTCTAGTCATGGGGGTTCACCCAAAACACCGGAAAAAGACTCTAGGAGACCACTGCAAAGGCAACCTCCTTCACGAAGCTGACATAATTTGCATGGATTGTTAAGAATCAGATCATAAATTATCTGTGAAACCTTTTTTCTAAAGGAGTCTAAAGAAAAAGGGTATGCACAGTATGTGCATGGAGGGTTGGGATACTTTTAGAGGGTTACACAAAATAACTGCACTTCAGTGATACCTAACAGCCCCCTCTTATTCCACAAGAGAAACAGTGGTGAATGTTTTGAGCATGACTACCACTACTGAACTTACCGTAGAACATCATACCCCACAAATTCAAAGAGACGACACATGCTGTCCCCAATTATAGTTGACCTCAGGTGACCAACGTGCATCTCTTTTGCAATGTTAGGAGAGGAGAAATCAACCACCACCTTTATGCAGGAGAGATAAGAAAAAAGGAAGAAAGAAAAAACATATTCTAAAACAGGGAGCAGCTTTTGTAAGCATTTGCTCTCAGCATCAGCTGAAGGCTACATCATGTTGGCGAATGGTGAGAAACACCCAATGACAACATCAAAATCGAAACTGAAAATCACCATACACCCATGTCCAGTTTTGATTTCTCAGGTTTCAAGGATCGGAAGACTTGGAGAGGCAACCCTTTTGTGCAAAAAGACTGCTACCGGAAAACCCATTGCCCCTTGTCTCATTTCACTGTGGGGGTATGGACTGTGCTGGGTGTGAAGGCTGGAAAAACTCAGTTGACAGGCTGCACCTTGCCCACCCTTAAGATGTTTAAGTTTTGGTGTCTGCATAGTATGGGGATACTCACAATGGTGTAGTGGACAGAGTAATAGATGAGACTGGGGTTTGAATCATATGCATTCAATTATACAAAATGTTAAACACAACAAAGCTTGAACATTTCACATTAGCCAATTCTGTGCTGCTGAAGAAAAAGTACACTGGGAAATGGACAGAGTATCCAGTTTCTGTTTTCAAGTCGCATATTCATCGGTATCTTTCAGGACTGTCCATGCCAACCAGGCAAAATCTCATGCTGTTCATGTTGGCAGTATATAACAATCTAAATTCTGTACAAAGGTCTGTGCACAACAACCTGTTTTCACACAGATTCTTCACTCAATTCACCAACTGCCATGGCCAGGCTATAGACACTGATTGTCTCAGAAGGCTAAAAAAAGTGTTACTGCTTCTCTAAAAGACAGAAATAGGAAAACTGAGAGTCTATCAGAGGCACTCTAACAGGAAAACACTGTTGCTCCATACCTTTTTACACCATTTCAAATTCAGGATGCATTTCTCATTTGTTTGAAAATGAAAAAATGAATTAACAGTAAAGCCAACAAAGACATGTCAGTACTCTTCACACATGATTGTGCGTACGACAGCACATGACTACAATTTCAAATGGAAAGCACAAGCCAAACCAGTTGATGTTTAATCAATTTAAACAGGGCTCCCAATAGTCTCATGTAATAAAATTCTAAGCATTCCAAGTTTCACATTCATTGTGTTTTATGGGTTCTTGAAAAAAAAAATTCTTATAAATGGTTTGGTATAAAACAGCATGCCTCCTGGGTAGAACATTATATTCCCTGAGATCTATAAAATGAATTTATATTAGTTCTTAATGTCAGAAAGTAGAATTGCAAATAACCAGGAATTCTAAAATGTAGCAAAAAACATATTCTGATCATGTTCTAGGATTAAATTAAGAAAATGTATTTTAGAAGGAAGGAAGTATTGAAAAAGCAAACCAGTTTCACCTGGATAAAAATAATAATAATAAATAATTAATTGTGGAGGCATGTTCCATTTATTAATTGTAACTAAGATCAAAACAGGCCCCATGTACTTCAAGAAAACACTGCTATGTTCACAAAGGTATGTGCAGGGGATCCTCTCAGAAAACTCTGCCACACTGTGTTGTGGAAGGTCTGAAGGCAAAAGGAAGCTTAAAAGCTCCCATGTTCACAGAACATGAAGCCTGGTACTCTGGATCTCAGCTCTTGAGCTTCTGCAAATGAGTGCACATTGAGAAGAAAATGAACATCTCATTATAAATACTTAACAGCAGCACCTAAGAAGACACGCACTGTGGTACCTTTTTCCTCTTGCCAACAGCTGGGGGCTGAACACCATTCACCAGCATACTGCTCAGCTGTTTAGATACAAAGTCTTTTCTGAGGTGTACATTGATAAAACCTAACACAGAGAGGCATAAAAAGGAAGAATTGTTACTGGGACCACAACATATTAAAACTTATATCTCCTCTGAATTGAGCAAACTTTATAAAATATTGCAGGACTGCTGGTAATAAAGCAGCATGTCATTTGCAGTCATAGTGAAAAACCCTACCCCTCACTGGTTCCAAGTACCTCCATAAAATATAATCCAGACAACATACATTGTTCCATAAACAGCTTGGGTCAGCAATACATTTTCTGGGAGGACTACTTTAAGTGAAAGGCTACGAATCACCACTTCAACCTTACCTCAAAATCTGCCCTGCTAGCAGTTCTAGTGCTATTTCAGATACCGAGACCATAGTTGCAAGTGCCAAGTACTAACACAGAAACATTTTTCAACAAAGAGCCTTATTTGTTATTTTACAATGGAACCTCTATTCAGGCATTCAATATGAGAGCTTAGAAAATAGGACCTAGGATATTCAGTGTTCTGATCTGCATGGAGACCCTCCACAAACAGAAGAGGATCCCCTTTTCAAAACCATCATTTTTCATGCTGCTTTCAGCAACAATGGAAAGGGTATGGCTGGTGCACTCTCTTGTGTAATTTAACCTACTGCTGAATGTCTGAATAGTGCTTAAGTCACACACATGATGCTATGTAAGAATGTTCTTTCTATTCATGGGCATTTGTAAAATTCAATCTGAAACTATCACTCTTTTGAAATTGCTGCTAGCCTCTTCAACTGACCCAACACTTTAGACTATACAGTAATTTCATTGTTCTGAACTGTAATGCTACTAAAGATAATTCCTATCCAAGACAGGCATCAGAAGTAAAATTTATATACCGTGTTTCCCCAAAAATATGACCTAACCTGAAAATAAGCCCTAGTATGATTTTTCAGGATGCTCGGAATATAAGCCCTAACCCCAAAATAAGATCCAGTTAAGTGAAACATCGACCTCCACCATTGTGCAACAATCAGAAGATGACTTGACTGTATTTGAATAAATGTAGATTGTTGTACATTAAAAAAAAATAAAACATCCTCTGAAAATAGGCCCTAATGCATTTCTGGAGCAAAAATTAATATAAGACCCTGTCCTATTTTCGGGGAAACATGGTAGAGAATTTTCATCTAATACACCTCTAAGACATGAAATGCCTGAACGTATTGCCATCTACTCGTCTACTTGATTAATGTACTCCAATTAATGAAGGTGAAAGCAAGCCCTTAGGGCTCGGGAGTTCCTGTTAGTCTTCCTTTGCACCTCCCAGACCCAGGAAGAGGACAGATGGCAGAAAAATCCTTCCATCTGCTAGATAAGCAGGGTTTTATTCATATTGGACAAATGAAGAGGAGATGGTGGCAGCTACTAACTCAAGGTGATATAAAAGTAAGCCCTTCCCCATAAGCTTTTCATTGAGGCTGGCTGGGAAATAAGCATCAATTCCTGCTCAGCCATGGAAACTGGGAGGGTGATAGTAGCAAAACCATTCTGTAAATGTCTCGCGTGTCTTGAAAACCCTACCACAGGTTGATGTCACATAAGTCACACAAACAGCCATCCAGATCACTAATGTCTTATGTCAAGAAGCTGTTAGAATTCTTGATAGACTGCATAAATACTGGTGGCTGAAGCCTTTCGGGGGAAAAAATTGAGAGTTCCTGAGCTAAATCTCTTGTAGTACAATCTTCATGGACCCAAAATGTCCTCAAGTCCTTTGTCAAAGTACTTCTAATATTAGATTTAGACTCCCCTCCCCCCCAGGCAAAAGCAAATATAGAGTAACTATACCTGGCCCAGCAATTTCAACTTTCTCAATACATTCGTTGTCAGGAATGCTTCTGGCAATCTTGTCAGCAATTTCTCGTGGGCTAACTTTTTGCTCCTTAGTTTTGAGCAGTATCTGAAAATCAAAACCAAAGCTCTTTGTAGAATTGCTGACTGAAGGAAATGCACAACACCTTGTCCCAAATTGCCAACCTGTCGTTTGCTACCAGCATCAAAGAAAGGTCAGAATTCTGACAGGGCAGAAAATCCCTCCCGGTTAAGTCTGGTAGATGCCATCAATCACTGGTTGAAATCCAGTTGGCACAACTCTGCCATATAAATAGTGATTCTGGCCTTTTACCCTGGGGAAGCCTTTGCACTGGAGCAGAAGGGACCCTTTAATATCAGAAAATCCCCACTGGTAGTCCCACAAAATGGAGCCTTGAAACCTGAAGTGCGAGGGGTGGGGGGGGAAGATAGGAAGTTTTAAACAAATTAAAAGATTAATGTTGCCAGGTGATGACATCATCACCATTTGCAACAGGATTTCAGCCATTTAAATACTCATTTCTCCAGCTGTGAAATAGGAAGTGAACAGCTATTAATTCCACTTCTAACGGTTAAACCAGAAGAGCAAAAATGCTTATTTTGAAGGCACATTTCCAAAGGCTGGGCAATTCTGTGCTTCCAATATAGAATTATACCTTTCTAACAGGTTACTCCTCACAGCAAGAGCTCCCTTCTCTGACATACCCTGCAATTCCAGAAAAGAGTTCATGACATAAGGCATGAGCCTACGTGCCAGACAACAGCCTCTCCCTGTGGCCTGCCAATGAGGAAAAAGCCCTCACAAATGTGTTTTGTCTTTGTACATGCTCATTAGCATACCATGCCTGCATTCCAGATGGAAGGGCCAGAAAACTGTCAATTTTAGAGATACACTGCTTCCTTTCTCTCACCTCCATGTATGCCCTACTCTTTCTACTATACTCTTCAGGCGGTATTGAGAATTCTGTTTCCGAACATTTGTCTGAATGTTACCCAGAAGAATATGAAATGTCCCAAAAATGAATGATACATCAAGAACAAGTTACCATTCTGTCATGTAGCACACGGAGTTGAAACATTTGAAGTCAGGGGCTGAAGGCCAGAATGCTTGACAGCAAAATTTTCCATTCCTTTCACTACAACTAGTAATTAGAAGATATTTATTTATTTATTTTGGCCCAACAGTGAATTTTAGTCACATTCTCTGTAGTTGAGATGGGAGGGAGGCAATATCCCTTTTTATAGGAGCAGGTATTATTTTAAGAGAAATTTACCACATGTTTCAGGAGATGGAAAAGAGGGGCAGAAGGAGGGTGTAATGTATTTACTACCATCCAACGTACAACCCAGCCAAGCAAACTCCTAGCACATGCGGAACGACATAAAAAATAAATCTTGAGTGTCTGCTACAAAATCATACAAGGACTGTGATGATCTGAAAAGTGCCTCTGAGTCCCACTGGGGCTACTGATAGGAAGGCCCTATGTCTGACATCAAGATACAAGCACAATACAGAACTGAGAAATTTGCATTGGGCAAGACTCCCAGGAGCAACTTAATTGGGGTAAAGTTGTGGTCAAAATACATTTTAAAAGGCACTGCAAGATTGTGCTGGATTGGCCAACACCCAGTCAAATATACTAATGAGATCCATGAAAAAGAGAGCATGCATGGGCAGGGCTGTTTCTCCAGGAGATGCTCATGCGGAGAGGCTGCTGACTAGCAGGTACCAGTATTATTTAGAAATTAACCTCTGCCAGGTCTATATGTCTAACAACTGTAACAACCTCTGAGAAATATGACAATAAATCTGACTTAAATGTATAAATTGACTTTAATCAACTAGTACACAACTCCATTATTTGTTGTAACATATAAGACAATTCATTAAGGTTTTTAGAAGTGCTTCTAACATGTTATCCATTCATGGTGCGGCTTAAAAGGTTCTCAAATAAACATGCTACTTTTTCTAACTTGAAAAATTGAGGTTTGTTAGCGTGGTTGCACTTCTGCCTATACCCAACTGAATTTGATCCTCATAAATTTGCCTTCAATTTAAGAACAAACCCACATTTGACTGGACTAAAGAAAAAGCCTTTCTCTGCTGCTGTGCCCCTAGATTCACACTCCCTAGCCCCACATACTCCACTCGCAACAGTCTAAAGACTTTTGGCCTTTAGAGTGTAAATGATACACTCTAACTACCACATGATCCTTCCAATTTTTAAAGTTAAATGGAGCTTTTACAAAATAGTTATATTGGTAGCTTGTCAAACCTGTTTCCCCTTATCATTATCCATATTCCATATATTATCTTCACAGAAATTATTTCTGGAGAGCGGGGACACAAAACCCAGATGTAGACGGCTATATTATGTTGCTAGAATCCTTGTTTGAATTTTTTTTAAATGAACAAAAACACTCCTTACAATTGTGTGATATATTTCCATGTTTTAAAAAAGCTCATAAAAAAGATGGTGGTTTTCCCAATTAGACTTACAAATCAGAGCTGCGTGATGAAAGCTGATCTAAGCTTCACCTAGGCAGTTCTGTGTGTTTGGGTGCGACATCAGAGAACAGCAAAACATTTTCAAGTTATCAGTTACCTGAGTTATGCTCATAGCACTGTTACACTGGTAATCACCAAACCTGGACTGCTGACTTGGTGTTACTGCCAGTGGAGGGTTTTCTAGGTCTGGATAAGAAGCTTTAATAGCCACACCAAAAATTTCTTGAAGGAGGTTGTTGATATTAATCATGCCTTCTGAAGGTTTTCCCCTATTCTGTTCCTCCTGAAGACTCTAGAGGAAAACAAAAACATATGTTATATATCCACCAGAGTAGAGAGACCTTTGGAACAGAATGTCCTAAACCAAGGCCTTCAAATGTAACCCAAGATATATAGCCTTAACAAGGGATCACTATATAGGTGTCTTCAATCCAATGAACATGAATTCCCAAAATACTGCCACTTGAAAAGGAAACTTCTGCATATACCATGCACGTACACACCTGATTTTTTTAAGTAGCCTTGTTAATAGTAAGAGGCACACTTTGTGAAAATATACTACTCCTTGGATGAACAAAGAATAATTAGCCCTGGGGCTCGGTAATCTTTGCTCTGTCTGGTTTCACCCACCTAGGAGCCTACAAAGGCAGAAAAGCTATCTCACTTTTATCCTTCACTGCCACGACACACTTGTGTGTTGCTCTTTACAAATGCAATGGGAAATTACAGAACAAATGTATAGCAGTTACTTGCAATTAAGTGTCTTACTAGGGAGAAATGTTTTTATGTCTATTGCCTCACATGGCTGCTGTGTGAATGACAATAACAACAACAAAGCAGGCTGAAGATCTTGACGGCTAGCGTATACACTTGCAAGTACAGTGCAACAGTCAAAACCATACTGAGTTCTGTGCATACAATGGTTTGCTGCACAAGCTTTTTGTACATTGTCTCCTTGTGTAAGGAGGCATTCAGTAGCTCTTCATACACAGGGGCAGAAGCTGTGTTACAATAAGCTGGGACCTTTTGAAATCTATACTGGCATCACAAAGACCATACTGGAGTTCGGGAGGCAGAGTGTTGCATTCCACAGAAGCTGAAGAGGATTCCAACCCTTGTCACAAGGGAATGTACTAGTGGGATTAACAGAACTGCCATTTTACACAGAACTCTACGGGGCTTCCTAGACAAGTAGACTGGCTGACAGGAAGGACTGCTTCTTCCTGGACTGAACCCCAGTTAAAGCAGCAGAGCCCAGCCTATTTTTTCCTTGAGCAGACCTGCTGGAACAGTTAGCACATCATTTTTTGTCATTTTCTCCAGTCTGACATATTCATGAGTACCATGTATATTCATGAGTACCAGTTCCAAAAGTGTCTCTAATGAGGGACACTACTAGGATGCAATACAGTCTGTTTCTCTTATTCTAATGACATATGCTTAGGAAAATAGCTGGTACAGATGTAACCAATGTCCACAGAGTAAGCAGCACCTGTGACAACAGAAGTTAAACACCGAAAGTCCCTTTGGTACAATAATCCATACCAATTTCAGGATAATTGCTTTTAAAAGCAATTTTTATGAGTCAGTTTTCAAAACATTGGTGAAACAGAACTTTATTGCCCCATATCCAAAATAAGAATTAAGTCAACAGTCAGCTGTAAGAGGATTTCCTTTATTACTTAAAGCCATTTCCTTGCCATCTAGAGGCAGTTCTACATCACAAGCTTTCATATTTCCTGGTTTGGACTTTCTTAAAAAGGTACAGCAACTCCAGAAGATTCACAGCAATGGTGTAATGCTGCAAGTTCTGGATGTGGTTAAACTCATTCTGCCACCATACAACATAAGGCTTCGAAACAGCATCATCATCTTCTCCTCGCTTATTGAAGGACTCTTGTCACAATGACACCCTTTTCTCCTCTGCCATTCCCACCAAAGAGGCTATACAATTTCCCAACTTCTGCTCCTGGCTACAGCCCAATGAGGGATACGTGGTGGCATGCTTTCTCTGGTTTACCTACTCTGCAGTCCTGGGGAGCTTCCCCTTCTTTCTTTTTCATGTGTAGACTATTACTGCAGCTTCCCAGCCACTCTTTCCTCTTCCTCTGGCTCACTGCCTCCCTGCTTCTACCCAGTAGGCTCCCGATTCTATTTGCCTTTATTTTCTGGCCAAGTTAAATTCTGCCAGCTTTTCATACCATGGGCTTCGGGTCCCTGCCACTGTTCCTGGCCAGAGCTCTCTCTTCTTTCAGTGCGTCATGTTGCCATAGAGGCTCTTTTGCTTCTGGAAACCACTCAATCAACTCACAATGATGCATCCTCAGTCATTAATAAGAACAAATGACAGCTCCGGGAACCATGACAACCATTAACACTTTCACACACATTACACTTTATTCAGGGAGGAAACATACCTTCTGCAGAACATTTATGCGATATTTAAGTTTCGCATTCTCTTCCCGCAATCCCTCCAAGCTTGGGGAAACTCCCAAACATCCACAATTTTTCAGCCGGTCAATTTCTGCAGTCAGGAACTTGATTTCCTTTTCCTAGAAAGCCAAATAAAATCAGTTCTATATAAGGTACTCTCTGATTCCCTTGTGCACACCTTGCTCTCTATAACAAACAAAAATAAAAGCACTCTGACACCTGAAAGACAAACAGATTTATTTCAGCATCAGCTACAATGGATTACAATGTACTTTCACAGACAAATAGGGTGCTATATTTAGTCCCAGCTTTATAAACACAGGAAACATAATTGCAGAGTTGAGGATTAAGTGAAGAGAGATACAAACACAGCAAAGGAACTGCCAAAGTGACAATACCATTACTACTAATAGAGGTAATGTTGTCAAAGTCTTGGCCCTAGGTAGACAGATCAACCAATGGATATTCCATCTAATTGTGGCTTAACATCGAGTCAAATTTGGATCTTTAGCCCAATTCTAGTTTTTATTGTTCATGCCACTTTCAATTACCCATTTAAGTTTGTTGTTTGTAATTTTTACTGTATGGGCTGGGGTTTTCTCTATTTTGTGGGTGAGGAACAGCCAGACTGGAGACCAAGTGAGGACTTCCAGACTTATGCCAGGGTACACCCCTTTATCCAAGTCACCACTCCAGGTTACTGATATTTACTCCATCTTGGCAGGTTCTCCACCTATTAAGCTAAGGAGGGAGCATGTGAGAGGAGGAATCCTTCACAAACTGGGGATTGAGAATACTGGAGATTAGCATCTTTTTTCTTACTGTAGATGTCATGTCAGAAATTCCACATACTGTTCATTCTAACCCTACCCACTCTTGCTTCTATATGTTTCCTTTGTTGCAATGTAGATTTAGCATTATTTCAAATAAGGTAATGACTTCAAAGAGAAAAGAAGACTGCCATCATTGCTCCATGTCATGCTAACAGAAACCAACATTACCAATGATCAGAAATCACTCGTTGTTGTTCAAAACAAAAACAAGGCTGTAGATACTCTGTTAAGTATCTCTGATATGCTATTTAACTAACAAGATAATTTAGATCAGTGATCCCCAACCTTGGGCCTCCAGATGTTCTTGGACTTCAACTCCCAGAAATCCTGGCCAGCAGAGGTGGTGGTGAAGGCTTCTGGGAGTTGTAGTCCAAGAACATCTGGAGGCCCAAGGTTGGGGACCACTGATTTAGATAGAATGCTCATTCAACAAACGTCCATTTTGCTATGTAAGGTCATACCTCATTCCTCACTATTAACTATGCCAGTTAGGACTGATGGGAGTTCCAGACCAACCATTTCTGGGGGATCACATTTTGCACACTCTCCCCTCACCTGTTCTTAAAGTAGGTGAATGTCTCTACATAAATTGATGGAAGCTGGCTGGATAGCTCAGTGGCTGTGGAGCCAGAAGTTGGGAGTTTGGTTCTTCACTGTACCTCTGGTGAGGAGAGAGAGCCTATATAGCCATGGGCAAGCTGCAGTCCCAGGGTTCCTCCAGAAGAAAAGAATGGTAAGCTACTTCTGAGTATTCTCTACCTGGGAAACCCTGAAAAGGGTTGCCATATGTCAGAACTGATGTGATGGCACATGATGATGATTAACTTGAATGAAATCAAATTCATTGATTTCAAGGACACGTATTTCCAGGACAGATACTAGGTTTGCACATTACATTAAACTGTTTTAGCATTCTGAGGATGAGCAATAGAAAATCTTGCATTTTTATGAATGCCTCCTTCCGCCCATTGGATAGCTGCAAAGGGAACAGAAGCTTTCTTTATTGCTTTCATTTAGAGTGCTTCATCAGCTCTAAAGGGCAGACCAGTATCCTTATGCACAGCTCTACCAGTGAAGTAGGAATTAGAGTTGCTTTTTCAGTTTTGGGGTGTGCATGACTCATGTGCAATAAGACAAAGTAGTACACATTGTGAAATTTTAAAAATGAACTTTTTGATTAAGGAGCGAGAACATGACATCAGTAATATCTTTTAAAACAGGTTATTAATGAGGACTTCTTCCAATATGGGATTTTAAGAAATAGCTTGTTACATTTTAATGTGCTAAATGCCTTCCATTTGTGCTTTGAGTCCTTATAAAACACATCAACTGACTTTCTAATATTATAAAATAAAGCTAACCAGAAGGACAATGCTAACTCTAAGAACACTGTTTTAATAAATGCACTGGAATCAATTTGTGTAAAACATCAAGCACATTATGACGAATTCTCTGTGCTGATGTACACAGCAGTGAACCAAAATACCACCACAGTGAAGAAGAACTCTGGGGCTGGGAGTGAAGAAAGGAGTCCTAAAAAGGATGGAGAGACAAAGAATACAAACTCAAAAGGAGCAAAGCAAGAGAAAATGTCAAGCTAGATCTGAGCATGAATTCTTATTCCACCCTTTTAAAAACAGCCAACACCTGCTGCAGTAAATCAACCAGGATTTTATTTATATGTATACTGCCCTATATTTAAATAGAATCATTTACTAGTAACTTTGAAGGTATTGCCTAAGGAAGTGCAAGGTTTACAAGAAAGAACAGGCCAAAGCAGGATCAGTTTTCGTTGTAACCAGAATTCCTTGTTTAAGTATGAATTCATGGTCATATTATTACCTGACAATATGCTGCAGCCATGCAATTCTGTTTTAAAGCTACAACCATACAGTGTTACATCCTTGATTCTATAAAACGCAAACTACGGAAAGCACATCTATGAATATCAGATTTGGTTTCATGTACACCATCTATTTACATCTACAGTACTTCAAACCAATTTGGGTCAACATTTTCTCTTCAGGATACACATCCAATGATGACCACCCATCAAGAGAAATAGGCATTGCTGGTAGAACATGCTTCCCATGCAAGGCCCAATCCTCAATTTGCCTTACGAGTGTTGGAGTTCCCTTCCAGAGCCAATCTGGAATGTGGGGAAGGGGTAGTCTATTCACATGGCATTGATACAACCCACAAAGCAGGCCACAACAACAGGAACAATGAACTGTTACACCTTCATTCCTCATGCAGTTTTTTTACTCATTCAGAATGTTACAGATTATACAAATAATCTTGTCACTCATTCCAGGGTTTTGTTTTGAAGCAGATTTTCCAGCTACTGTACACAAATATCATTAGACCTTCCCCCTCAAAAGTCAAATAGTATCTTCAGGCTCAATGGTTGCTTTAATATCTGCCACCTGGCTGTCAACAGAACCCACAAAGAAGTACAAACACAGGCCTTGTGGCATAGTACTACAACTGCTTACAGGTGTAATAAAAACAAGGCAAAAATACTGCAACACTTCAAAGACTAACAGATTTATTTCAGTGTGAAGTTTCATGGATTACAATTCATTTCATCATACAGAGAGGACTAAAAAAGGTCACATTGAAACATATATGTTACATCTTTAAATTCCACAATAGTTGTCCTTTGCTTTTTACATGTTGAAACAGACTAACACAGTTGTATCTTTGATAACAGCCAACAAACATTCCATCAGTATGCAAAAAAATTATAAAGTATTTTCTTTCATTCTGCATTGTATTCATTTTATTATGATTATTCTAGTTTCCTGGCTAACCAAATAAAAAAGCAGAGTAGAACCTTTTTAACTAATTCTTGAAATTCTTTCCCATTCTGTGGAAAGTTTTCATAGATACAGGAAAACAAAGGAGAAGTGAGCGTTCTTTAAAGGTTTTAATACTGTAGTTCCATAATAGTTTATTATATTATCCAACCTAAGAATATCCAAAGCTGATCTGCAGTAAGAAAACATGGAACATTTTTATATTTTTCAGACAGCATTTTATTTACTGTAATCTGCTTGGTTACCCCTACCTGACTAACAGTTTGCATGAAAAACTATGGACAGCAGAGACCAAGGCAGTCTAAAGCCTTGACTGAATATAAATATGATTGATGCGGAAGGTAAACTGAAAGAGATTTAAAAAAAAAACCAAGAGAGATCTCTCCTTTCTTTTCCTCTATCTGTGAAAACGTTCTACAGAAGGCAGTCTAAAGCCTTTACTGAAAACAAATGTGACTGACTGATGGAGAAGGAAAACTGAAAGGGCGGAAAAAAGGAAGTTAATAAGAATGGCGGGGTCGGGTAAGGAAGAGATCTCTGGAGGAGCCCGCGTTTCCCCCAGGACAAGGCAGCCTCCTTCCCCCTTGCTAAAGAGCCAGCGCTGCCTTGCTTTGGATCCCCTCACTCAGCGGAGGGTTGGGCTCGACAGCCCGAGGAGCCCCTTCCAATTCAGTGACCCGATGACCCGCACAAGGCCTTGACAAGGTGTTCAATCTGGAGGAAAACCAGTTTCCCACTCCCGACCCACGAGCTTCTTTCCTTTCATCCTCCCCCCCCCCGCCCGGGCTCCGGGCACCCCAAGAAGCAGGGAAAGGGGGAGAGAGGGAGGGAGGCTCGTCCTGCTGTCAGCCGCTGGCGCCCTTCCTTGAAATGCCGGCCTTAAGACTCCTCCTAATAACTCGACCCTACCCCGAGGAGGAGGATGGTGATGATGATGTTGATAATCATAATCATAATCATAATCATAATAATAATAATCATCATCATCATCATCATCATCATCACCCCCGCACGGCTCTCCCCGGTTCTAGGATAATAATAATAATAATAAAATAATTTATTATTATTATCCCAGAACCGGGGAGAGCCGTGAGGGCAGAGAGAAGCACGAGGAGTCCTGGCTCTAAAAGCAAGCAAGGGGGAAGAAGTGCCGCGTCGACACAAGGAGGGGACCGGGAGGCCGACCCGCCCCGACCCGCCTCCCGAGCAGTTGTGGAGCAGACAGACTCCCCCCCCCTCAACACCCACACACACACACACATAAAGAGCAAGACGGGGGGGGCTAGCTTCGGCCCCACAGCACAAGGCGCTCCCTCCATCTGTAACTGGCCCAAGGGAGGAGGAGGAGGAGAGGGGAAAAAAATAAACCCCGTCGGTTTCTGACCTGCCGGCAAAGCCGCTCCGCACACTGAGCCACCTCCATTCTCGCGGGTCACACAACCAGCCGGAACCGGAACCCGTAGAGGTTCCTCTCTATGGAAAAACCGCCAAGAAGGACGAGGATTGCCTCCCCGGAGAAGCAGGGAAGAAAAGGAACGCCGCGTGCTCCCTTGAAATCAACACGGCCTCCCCCTGTTGGACGGGTGGACGCACTACAGCCTGGGAGACGCGTGCGCATTCCTTCCGCTGCTTGCCGGGGGCGAGGTCGGGCTGACTCGGTGGTCGCGGAGGGGAGGGCGGAGCGAGGCGATAGTCCCGTTTCCTCCGGGAATATTTCTCATGCAAGGGCTTCTTCCTACCGCTGCGAAATATAAAACGAGGTCCCGACTGTTTTGCCTTTGATTTGGCCTGCTCTGCGTGTGACTATGTATGCAGTAACACCGCCAGCACCGTGGCGTGCCCTGTCGTTAACAGCGAAGCCAAGACTGTTTTTTATTAATGCTAACAACGACAATATTAACACTGTTGATCCCTACAGACATGGGTGTTAATATGGTCCTATTTATATACAGTACTTCTGTTTCCGTCGTCTCTCAATCCCCTGCGCCAGAGTAATATCCAAAATCTGTACGAAACTTTTCTTTTTATATTTCTACTTCACGTGTGTCAAGCAAAACCCAAAGGGGAAAAAAATAAATCGGAAAAGACGAAAACCCGTGGCGCCTTAAAGACTGCTATATTTTAATGTGAGCTTTTGTGGACAAGCAAGTCCACTTCAGATATATAAAATATATATTTAAACATTTTTTAAAAAAGAGAGGCCAGTGGAAGATCATCAGTTCTAAGATGATGATGATGATTGGTGCAAGGGCTGGATAAGCTTAGACCAGGCAGGAAAGTTATTGCTGGCGTGGGTCTGGCCGCCCCGGAGGCATAGGAGTGACTGGGCACGAGGGTTACTCACAAGGAAACAGATGGTGGGTTTCGTTCCACTAGCTAGCTGGCCATGACTTTGCTGCAATCAGAGTTTGGGATAGTTATCCCTCAGGATTTGTAACTCGTTGAAATCTTGTGGCCGGTAACCACCTTCTTGGCTGCATGTATAACCATACAGTTATTTGCCTTTTCAGTTCCTATTTGTGCTTGCTTAACATTCATTTCCCCACTACTCACACTTCAAACGGATATATATTTATACTCCGATTTTACTTAACAAAAAACATAGCATTCTATGACAAAGGCTCTTAGAACTCAACTTATAGTCATATAATAAGAGATTCTAATCAGCCACAATTCAATTTTCCACAGTTCATGATTCTGACATACAGTATATTGTTGACAAAAAAATTTTCCAAATATTTCCACAGGCTCTCATATCGCTATGTTATCAAATGCTATGTTTTGTTAAGTAAAATCAGAGCATAAGTATATATCCATTTGCAGTGTCAGTACTGGGAAAACGAATAGTAAGGAAACACACAAGGGGAAACTTAAATAGCAAATAATTGTATGGGTTATGCGCAGAGTTTTCTACACTTAGGGTTTCCTTGCCACGCCCCCTGTATTGTGTAAAACTTCTTGAGTATGGCATTTTTCAATATCTGCTCTGCTCAGGTTTTTGAACACATACCCACACTCTTCTTTTTCATTGACATTTATTCTGCTGTTTTTGGTGTTGTACGCACCTGTGGAGCAGCTCATCCATGGGAAATTCATAGACAAAACTCACACCTGATTTTTTTAATGAGTGTGTGTGTGGGGGGGAAATTAGAGCGATTTTCATTTGGCTATAGCTGCCACCTTGAGAGGCTGCACCATCTGTTATGTATATTTTTACCATGTAAGGTCATGGAGTTGGGATTCAAGGCACTGGAAAATAACTTCGTTTGACCCCACCACTTACCCCTGTGTTGGTTTGGGTGTTATGTGCTGTCAAGTTGCACCATGATTCCATATGGTTCCCCCAAAACCCACTATATTCATAGCCTTTTAAAAAAAGATACCTCAGGAAAGTAAGGCATAATTTTAGAGGGAGAAAACAAAAAATAAAAGTGTAACTTGTATAAAGGTTTCTATAATTGGAACTCCACAACAGGATAGGTCCTCAGAAACTGCATTGACCAGTTTAGAAGAAAATATGATTAATGGGGAAACATTGCAGAATGTAGCTGGAATGAAGAGATCCATTTTGAAGCACATCTGGGAACCCATTCAGATAGGGCTTCTTTGAAAATTCACTGCAAGCTACAAATAAATCTGGCAAAACTTGGGAGAAGAATAATATCATTAGTGTATGTGTTGGTGAGAGGACAATCCAACAGGGCCACCTAAAATCCTGTTCGAAGCTGACATCAACTTTACCCAAGTACTGTACTTTATTGTGTAATCCAGAGAACAAGTGAGATTTGCCTATGGGTACAAGCATTTCCTGATCATTCTCTCCATGGACTTCAAGGGTTGGAGTCATTGGGGCACGGGTGGGATTTGTTTGGTTTTTAATCCAAAATTGTCCACATAAAATGCTCTCCTTGTTTCAAGCAGTCCAACATCCACCACTATCCCCACTCTGGCCATGGATGCTGAGCTCCCTTTCTTTATCTGTAATACCCAGCTGGCAATATTGCTAGGTAAAGTTGACATCAGCAGGAAAAGAAAAAGACCGAACATAGATGGCTTCAGTCCTCAGCCTTGAATTTGCAGGACCTGAGCACGCTGGCTGTTAACAACAGAACCTTTTGGAGGTCGCTTTTTCAGAGGGGGACCACGAGTCGGCAATTACTTGAGAGCAGATTAACAAAAACTACCCTGCTGTTCCTATCTTTCTCGAGATGATGGGCCAGTTTGCTTACTTGGCCAGATGACGCGCTCACTTGACTCAATAATGCAGTAACACGTATTTCCTCTCCCTTTCTTTAAAACTGGGATTCCAAATTGAATGCCAAAGGCCTATCAAGAACTGGGGGAGGGGGGGGACAGAATTCTTGGATGCTCTAGGAACAATTATTCCAATGGGGGAGAAAAACAACCACCTTAGAATGAATAACTTAAATAGACACATGTGTTTTAAGACTGAAATCTCATAAAAGTAAATCCTATGGCGGGGGGGGGGGGGAGAAAAGCTGTCAAAATTCTTTAGGATTCCAGGCCCACGCTGGTAAAATCTTCCTTCTTTTATAGAAATCAATTTTTAAAACGTCCACAGAGATCTGTGTCTGTGACTGCGGGAACGGACAGAAGTTGTGACACAGCATTCCTATCTACAGACAGAAAAGACACAGAGGTTTGGTCTGTAAATTTCTATAGCAATTTTAATCTGTTAATCCTGACAAAATTTAAAATAGGTATAAATTCAGTCATTTAGTGCTTTCCTATTAAAAGTGTTTTATACATGAAAAACAAATATGTACATCTCAAGAGACATCCAGTTTTAAACCACTTGTTGGCTTTACTCCTGAAGGTGCATCTTCGTGTTTGGGCCATTGCATTCCTGTGGCCACTGTTCAACTTTCTGACATTGGCAACGGTCAAGAGAAATAAGTGAATGTGAGAGCCAAGTGGTGCTGGTGGGTTGCTCTCGGTGTGTACGTGCATGTGTGCATTCATGAACATGGGTGCATATGCACATGCACCGCGCATTATAGCACAAAGAGAACTCAGATGTGTATGAGTGTTAGGTCCTTATCTATCCCTACCTTTCACCAAAGGAGATAAAAATACAAAATAAACTCTACTACATCACAGTTATTAAAATACAGCATCTAGAAAAGATGGTTCTTCGATCCAAGGGAGGACTAGTCCATGGTGGTGAATAGAAGGTGACTTTCTTAACCTTTGCTCCTCCCGGATCCCCCTTCAAACCATCTTCTATATGTTGTGAGGCCAGAAGAGGCCAGGTTGTGGTGCAGACAGCTAAATTGTGACCAAGGGTTCCTGAAAACTGGGCAGATGCCTTCTGTTTCTCTCATGAAATAAGCAGCTCCCACTCAAGGAAGATGTTTCCACCCCGTTTTACAAAGAAAGAGCTTTCTAACCTTCTGGAGAAGCTTTTTAAGGAACTGTTTAGAGCAGTGGTCCCCAACCTTGGGCCTCCAGATGTTATTGGACTTCAATTCCCAGAAATCCTGGCCAGCAGAGGTGAACATCTAGACGTTTTCAAAAGAACATCTGGAGGCCCAAGGTTGGGGACCATTGGTTTAGAGCAATAGTTCCCAACCGTGTGTAACCCAGGTGTTCTTTGACTGGAACTCCCAGAAACCCAGGCCAACACATCTGATGGGAACTGCAGTCTTAATAACACCCGGGCTACACAAGGTTGGGAACCACTGGTTTAGATGAGAGGAGAGGGTAGGAACGAGAGCTTCAGCCTTTCTTCTGCTGCTGTTACTGCTCTCAATCCAAGTCAATTTCCCCCCAGAAATCCAGTATACCTCATCAAGACAATACTATTCAAAACTACTTGAACTATTTTCTTCCTTGCACTGATGAAGCAGGGAAGAACATAAATCTAAGACTTTCATGATCTAGTGCCTTTGGTGTGTACATGCATGAATCTGTGTGCTTTCTCTGGTGTACGTAGGGGTGGGAGTGCAAAAAAACCCCAAAATGCTTGTGTTATACACTCAGGTATGACAGACATTGTCAAATTGATAAATAATATATATGCACATACAAATAGAAACAGCAGTGTGGTAAATTACTGTTGATAACATACATTTCCAGGATTTCTAGACAAGAGTTTGTTCCATGTTGTTTACTAGACGTTTTCAAAAGTAAGTGGTAAAATGAAATCCTCTCCAAATTAGCTATTCCATTCACCTGGAGCTAGGGGAACATAGGAGACCCTTCACAAATGTTTACCTAATATTAAGGGCAAGATATTATTTTAAGATTCTTAATGATCATCATTCTTTAAAAACTAATAGGGCTACATGAGAATTTCTTTGTTTCTTAAACAACTTGATAATATTTTTAAAACAAAATGTTGGTTTTTAAACAGGATGGATTATATATTTTTTTAAAGCTGCCTAGACAGATCTTTCTTTTTTGCTTCCAGCAAAACATTGAGCCTTAAGAAAGGTTAACACACATGTATGTTCCCTGTAGCTCTCTCCCTGTAGCAAAGGGTTCACTGGGCTTTTGGAACTTTTTACAGGTCAGATACAGAATGAGCTGAAGTAACAACCTCCGAATTAAAGTGCAACAGGGCTTTTGAACTCAACACCCATTTCTTGTGACCTAGAAGGAAATGGAAGTGTTTCACAGCTCACAGAGCACTCCTTTCCAGCTCTTAAAAAAATTAATGGGTTCTTCCATCCCCCAATTTCATATAAAATATTTAAATTAGCAAAAGTTAGTTATATAAGAGTAAAGTTGAATTTTTAGGATTATTGGATTGATGCTCCTTCAGATTCAAGTTTTCTTGTGGTAAAACTTCTTTTTTAAAAAAGTAGAGCTGTACAAAAATGTCTAAACAAGTTCTTATTTAAGCAGCACTTTGAACTGCGTTCATATTTAAATATTATTTCTAAAAAAATTACATTGCTAAATATACAGACTACATAACCATCTCATTTTTATGCTGGCATTTGCAGTGGAGAGAAGAAAGCTAAAAATTTGGATGCAAAGATGATAAAGTCATTAATGTACAAATGAGCTGGTATCATCATAATACCATATAAATAATCTGCAGTGAAAGTAAATTATATTTTGTTGATGTTGGAGGAAATTACTTAAATAGACATTAAACATCATCCGCAGAGAGAGCTGGAATGTTTATTCTTGGTCTTGTGAAAAAAGCCATTTTCTCTCTACAAAACAAGACAAACATTAATTGTTAATAAAATTAAGAATTCTAAGTGGTCAGTACTCAAAATGAGAAAATAAAATCTATCACATACTGTACAACCAAAAATTCCTACTCATGTATAACTAGTTGCAAATAAAGTTATTCATAATTAATTTCTTTTTGCAAGAATGGAGATCCTAAGTTTCATTACTTTTATAATTATTTCTACTCTTTCGGTAAATGCCACTTCTTTTGTAGTATAACTCTAACTGTTTAGTTAGATATATACTTAAGAGGAATCATCTTATTGAATGGTTGAGGAGGAACATCACGTGTTTCAAGTATAGGCTGTACAGTACAGTGCTTAGAACTGCTTGTCTGTGCTCTGTTGCAAGTGATGAGGTCACAGTGAAGTAGATGGAGGAAATACATCTTCTGTACCACAGCTAGTAGCTTATCACGTGTAGTTTTTTTAAAAGGTAACTAAATTGCTATTGTCTTAGTCATTGTCCAGAAAAACAAAAACAAAACAGACTCCAGTAACAAAGATAGCAGTTAACTCCTTTTTCAAATCTTAGAACTGTATTTTACATATAATTATATTTTGCAACTCAATCCCAATTTAACAGAATCCCTGCTATCAATATTTTAAAAATACTTTGGGATAAAACAAGAAAGGGAGTCTTGTGACACCCTAAAGACTACTGTGCTGAACATGGCACATGGCTTTTGTGGACTGTAGTCTATTTTATCCTATCCATGAAATGTTGTCTTTGCCTTTACTGGTAGGTAGGTGGATAGATAGATAAATAGATAGACAGATAGACAGACAGACAGACAGACAGACAGATAAGGGAAGGAAACTGTAGACAGCAGCTGAAATCCTGTTGCTTGGTGTAGTAGATTACAACTAGAGTGAGCCCACTGGGCAAAATCCTGCTCATATAAGGTTGTGTGGTAGAAGCTGATGATATCATCAGCTGACACTGGTGATATCTATCTCAAACTAATTAAAAGTTTCCTAGCCCCACCTTTTTCAGTTCCAAAGTTCCCTCGGGCTCCCTTTTACCCCAGGGAAGCTTTTGAGGGCCTTGGGATGGGAGAGGAGAGCCTTTAAAAGTTTTTTAAACAATTGGATCATCACCACCAGTCTTGATGTTGGCTGTTATTCAGTGGTGGTTTTTAAAAACATTTAAAGGTTCCCCACCCAATCCCAGGGCTCCCAAAGGCCTCCCTAGAGAAGAGAGAACCTTAGTTAGTCACAGAACAGAAAACCTGGGGTAAGGGCAGTAGGAAGCTTTTAATTAGTTTGAATTAAGCAGTACCAGCACCATATGATTATGTCATCTTCTGTGCAGCTTTATGTGAACAAAAGTTCGGCCACAGGAACTTACCAATGGCCCAAATCCTGTTCACATAAAGCTACACAGGCCTACTCTAGTGCAATTTTTCTATGCAACAGAGTTTTAGTGAGTGCGATCAGTGTGGCCTGAAAATACAGAAAGCATAGCCAATAACTGAGTTTGGTTTTAAGGTGCCATAAGACTGCTTCTTGTTTTTAACATAGCAGACTAACAAAGCTACGGTACTCCTTTCAAGGTGACAGAAACAAAAAGATTTCATTCTAATAAATTTTACTACAGTATATTATAACCAACACGAAAGGAATTTAAACAAAGCTTGCACTGTTTTTCTATCTGGTAAGCACAAATCAGACTGCTCTAGGTAGGTCGTTCATTTTAAACAAAGGGATCTGACCAGTAAGGCAGTATTGTGTAACTGCTAGATAAGGACATGACAGAAGACCTTTCTTTCTTTTTTTAACAAAATTCCATACAAGGTCAGTCATTGTTAGAAGATGACCGTGACACAAGCATGACTAGCTTGCTTTTTTTAGCTGAATGTTTTTATGGTGTTGATAAGAAGAGTTACATAAAAGTGTGTGTGTGTGTGTGTGTGTGTGTGTGTGTGTGTGTGTGTGTGTGTGTGTGTGTGTCTGTGTGTCTGTGAGTCAAGTACAAAAGTAAAATCTGCAAAATATCTTCCTACCTGAATGATTGCACTTCCAGGGGCTCCTTTCGGCTCTGGCCTCGTAGCCTGTGCACATCCTTTGCAGCTGCTCTCATCATTTTATCAGCTTTCAGCTCACACTTACATTCAACCTTTTCTACCTAAGTGAATAAGGAATGGAGCCATTCATTTAAACAGGGACACAATACGCTTTTCTGTAACCTGACATTCTCTGTGTAAAACAAAACACTTCATCTCCATGTCTCACACTGGACATTCGGGTGAGACTGATTTATTGAGAGCCATAAACCACATAATCTGGAAGAAAGATTCAGAATGTTTCAGCAGATTCATAGTCACTCTTGTTTCCTCCAACATGCTACGCTGGGGGTGGGCAGCCCTGATAAGTGCCTGGCACGCACCATCCTGTGAGTCCCATGCCAGCAAGTAATCATAAGATTAATTCTTTTATTCCATTCACATGAGCCCTCAGAGAATTAAATGAGGCTGAAAGATGCAGAATACTCCCCAACCCCCTCCAATCTGCACCACTTGAAAAAGCAAATGTACTCACATTTTGAGGCTGTTCCTTCTACAGCTCAGAAACAACACCTGTGTCTAATATTTTTGGAAATATATGTCTAGTAGCAAGGATGAACAGTGTGTACATATACAGTCTGAATACTAACCTAAATACTAATTAGCGCAAGCCAGGTGAAAGTATGTAGAGATGGGAGTTGGGATAAAAAAATGTCTGGACTTGATTACTTAACAGCTTGTTATCGGATTCTATTAAAAATGTATCAGATTTTTCCAGGCAGCAGCAAAGGATGCCCCTTTTCTATATAATGGCAGCCTTATCTTGTTAAAATTAAATTAAGTCATATTGAGTAATATTTATAGAAAAGAAGTCAAGAGGGATTGTTGCTTCCCAGCTACATGCATGAGCATAAACACACAGAGACACTTATTTTATATATGAGAAATTTTGTACTCGATTTGTAGAATGATTCTTGTTTTGTTGTTTTAATAGAGGCGGTGTGTTTTTATTGGTTTAGTTTCCTACTGAAGAAAACTTGTATTGTGTTGGTCACTCTTGGGGTGACACTATAGAAGCCAAGCTAAACTATTCTGCCTCATACATACATGTGGATGATATTTAAATTTGCATAGTATTATCTGATGTGAATAAATATTTTAAACTGAAAGTTTATAATGTGTCTCTTATATCTGTGAACTAAGATCCCTATTATGGTTTATCTGAAGCCAGCACTGTAGGTACCTTCCCATTATTTGTTAATACTGCTTCATGTATTTTTGAACATCCTGTACTTGGATAGCAACAATCTATCTCTTCACATCTCTCACATCTTGTGGCCCTGCTTCAGAATCTTATCTGCTCTGGATTACACAAATTTAATTCTGAAGCTTGCAAGAGGGAGTTTAAAAAAAAATCAACCATTTTTGAAATACTACTGCAAATGTGCTCTGTTATCTCAAAACCTAAATCTATTTCCTTAAAGCTTCAGTTCCTCCTGCAACGTTTTAAATTACCACAACTCATCCACTGTCTTACATAACCCTTGGCTAATTAGACAGAAACATGAGATATACAGACACCTACGTAAGCTCCATAGTTCAGCACAGCAATTGGGGTTAATTATCAGACTGAGCCATTTCAGAAGTTGATAACATATGTGGGAATTACTGTTCCAGCAAAACAGATCTCCCATATATGTAAATTAGATGTTGCAATCTTCTGGTTTTGATTTTTTTAAAAGAAAGGTAAAAAAAAAGGTGTCTAATAATTTAAAACAAGCTGGTGAACAGCTGCAATCCTATGCACAATGATTTCTCATGTACTGAGTGCAATTCACTTATGAGTAAATACACAACTTTATAAATTTATAAATTTATAAATTTATAAATTATAAATTTATTTATTTATATCCCGCCCATCTGGTATATTCTACCACTCTGGGCGGCTAGATATTTGTATTATACATTTATATGGTAGGTATCAACACTTTCTTTCTCTTGTGCACTCAAAAGCCCAACATTCCGTTAAGCTATACCATTGTGCTATGAAACAGTGGCCCAAGATAGCTACATATTAGATGTGGGGACGAATATGAAAACAAATCGGGATATTCAAGGAAGCCTGACAGAAGCAATCCCCCACCCCTGCTATATTTGGAAAGACAGCAGGTCGGGGTATTGTTTGGGTCCTACTTCCCTTGTCTTTCTGTGCCCGCCCAGGCAAAGAGAGACAGGGATAACCTGTCTGAAGTGGTCCCCCCACCCCGTTGCCTCCGTCAGCCCTCCCCACTGCTCCTAGCAAAAGCTAGGCTGCTGAAACTGAAACCATGGTTTCAGCAGTTTAGCTTCTGTTTTAGTGGAAGCTGCTGCGGAACAGGAGGAGGCAGCCTGGCCAGGTAAGTGACAGTGGGCAGGGGGTGGGGGCAGGGGGGCTTTTTTTTTTTCTAGATAGCTTCACGGGCTGTCTTTAAAAAAAGACCCGATAAATTGGTTCATGGTTCATTGGGCCACTGGGAGTCAATTCATGGTTTGTGGGTGATGATCCACAGACCAAGACAGAGTACTATTTTGGTGCTTCGTCCGCATCTCTACTACATATTCATTTGTATATTTAACTGTCTCAGGCTACTGTTTCATGGCACTAATGGTATAGCTTAATGGAATGTTGGGCTTTTCGGTGCACAAGAGGTTTAAGCGATGCATTTAAGAGCTGTTTCAGTTTTCAGGATCTTTTACTCAAACCCGGAAGACAAAGTGGAAATGCTAAAACCCAAATGATTTCCAGATTCTCCATCCCACTCTGGGATCTCTGCAAGATGCAGGCTCTTCTTCCAACAAACACATATTAAATGTATCACATTGACATGTGTTTTGGTAATTCCACAGTTGATATTTTTGGTTTTGCAGATAAGAGATTTTGGAAGATATTTTCAGCCAGGAATATCTTTGTTCCTTTCAGCAATTAATCCAAAATAACACAGAGTTGTGCGCCACTTTTAAGAGGAACTGATATATTATTATGTTTATTAGTTGTTATTTTGATATGACTAATACAGATATATACCAATATGGCAATTACCGTGCATCCATGGTTTATTAAGAATAAAAAGATGATTAAGTTTGAAGCATTCTGAACTATCAGACATACTGTCTTGTCCAGTAAGACTTTCCTGGTAAAGGTAAAGGTTCCCCTTGACATTTAGTCCAGTTGTGTCCGACTCTAGGGCGCGATGCTCATCCCCGTTTCCAAGGACTGTTTCCGTGGTCACATGGCCAGCGCGACTAGACACGGAACGCCGTTACCTTCCCACCAAGGTGGTAACTATTTATCTACTCACATTTACATGCTTTCAAATTGCTAGGTTGGCGAGGAGCTGGGACAAGCGACAGGAGCTCACTCCGTCGCGTGGATTTGATCTTACAACTGCTGGTCTTCTGACCCTGCAGCACAGAGGCTTCTGCGGTTTAACCCACAGCGCCACCACGTCCCTATGACTTTTCTGAGCATGGTGTAAATGTTGTTGCATCTTATGCACATTCAAAGGGACTGAAAATTCAAGTAAAGAAGAATAAGATATTTCATTAAAACAGAGAAGGAATTACTTTAGGGTGGGGCTGAAGCGAGGAGATATGGATAATGCTGCAGCTAAAATATATTGCAAATAAATAAATAAATAATGTACAAATATACTGTAACCTGATGAATGAAGTCAGACCCTGATTTTAAAGTCAAACAAAGGAGACAGCACTGCAGAACAGTCTGGAAGAACCAAGAGAATTTGACTAGAAGGGATTACGAAAGCACCAAACATTGGGTCCTTCTGCCATTTTCACCATTTGGTTATTTTAAAAAAACTGGTCTTTGTTTCTAAGAATACTTACCTGTTTCTCCACCAGCCTCATCAAACTCCGAAAACGTTCATCTTCATTTATGCACTGCGGCAATTCTTTCTGTCCCTGACTCTGAGCTTTTTCTAATTGCTCCTTCAGCTGTTTAAGGATAGAAATCTCCTGTACCAACTGGCTGTGCCAGGTTTTTGAAGCCTGCAAGTCTAGTTCCAGGTCCAAAGAAGTACGTATTAGCCGCTCAGGTCCAGTGCTTTTTACAGAAGACTGGGAAGAGAAAAAAACATACAAACACACCGGTTTGGAAACATATTGGACTGATCACATCTTTAAAATGTGAAGCGTTTTTTTTGTCATGTCACAATTACTTAAAATATTAAGCATGTAATTCCTTGTACTAAACAGATAATAATATGTGGGTATGAAATCCCCAGTGCTATGTGCCATATGTTTTGTAATGCAATTTCTGTTTATCGCATTACTGGAAACCATTAAAAACATTTAATCTTCAGTGACAGCAAACTCTGTCAATATTCTTGCTGTTAATATTTAACATGGAAAACTGGGACTCGAAGAATTATTTGTGCCCACAGCCAAAGTTTTAAAATCAATTAATTATTTTAAAACAATTCCTTTCTTGTAAGTAGAATTCACCATCCTCACAATATTGTTATTTTAATGTCTCTTTTTACTATCATTCTCTGAATTTTCCTGCACTGACATTTTTTAGATGAATCAAATGTTTTTGCTCAATTTTTATTGCAGTTTTATTATATATCACCACAGGTGCCTGATAGAGAGCCTGTAATACAGCAAAGACATGCCAGAGAAATATTTACCCTTTTCATCCTGACGCTTCTCCTCTCCACAGCATTCCGAACAAAGGGTGGTTTCTTTGACAGAGTTGAACTATCGCTATCACTGCGATTAAGCTGAAAAAGAGAGAGAAATAATGACACCCAGGGAGCTTTATCAGTGATACTGGATGGTTACTATGTTTATGAGAAGTTCTCTTCCCTGAAAGAAAAGCATGCAAGAATCAGTAAATCAAAACTCAAGACAGAAACCCGGGAGAATTGTAGTAGTGCCTTCAAGACACCATTGTCTTCTAAAACGCTTGGATGTCTTTATAGGATTGGCTCTTGAAGAGAAGCATGAGGAAGGACTATGGCTCAATATCAGAGCATGTTTCATGCATAAACTCACTGGATTAACCCCTGGCTTTGCTGCTGCAGCAGTTCCACTGGCTGCCGATCCATTTCTGGGCACAATTCAAAGTGCTGGTTTTAACCTATAAAGCTCTAAACATCTGGAGTCCAAACGATCTCAAAAACTCTATCTTTTTTTTAATGAGCCTGCCCATGTATTAAGGTCATCAGAGGTCTTTGCCTTGGCCCCATCACCTTCACAGGTGCATCTGACGGGGTACAGGTAAACTGGGAGCAGCGACAGCAGATTTGCTGTTGCTGCTCCCAGACTCTGCCCCCAGACTCTGGAACTGCATCTCACAGGAGGCCAAGCTGGCCTCAAATTTGACATCCTTCTGCAAGCAGTGAAGATCTTTCTCTTCAGGCAGGCTTTTCCTTAGTGCTGTCTGTCTGGGATGGTTTGCATTTTGTTGCTTCTAAATCTGTTTTAGTAATGCTGTTATTTAACGTTTTAAATGTAATGTTATTAACTCTTTTTAAATATTTGAATAATATCCTCGTTTTAGTTTTTAATATTATGCTTTTAATGATGGAAGCCACTTTGGGTCCTTTTTAAGAGAACTGTGGGTAAAAATATTTTAAATAAATGAGACATCAATTAAATATAGGACTGGAGACATGCTTTCTCTAAATTGCTGCTCCCAATCAGAATAGATCAGGAGCTGGTAACATGGTCTGTGTTTGTTCTCCCAGAGACCTAAGTAAGTTTATTTTGCACCAGAGGCAAGAGTGGTGGAACAGGCTGTATGGATAATCTTACTACGCTTAGAGGGGAGCAGCTCACTGTTCATCTCGCCAACGCTGCTTTCTACATGTCGAAAATAGTAAGGCTGCAAGGGTGATGGTTCTGCTTACACATGAGCAGGAATATGACTCCTACTGATTTATACTTTCCTTATGTAGAAATTAATGACAAAAAGAGGAGAAGCTAGTCTCTCTCCTGCTAATGAGGTTGTGCCTTTTTCCTAATGGCATGGCATGCTTGGGCCAGTAGGAGGCATATTTTATTATATTTTTCCTGTGCTCTTAAGCTTTTGTGCCTTCACTTGCCTCACTCTTTTTATAGTGTTGCCTTCCCTGCAACCTCATTTTGTAGTTGTTGCTGAATTTGCTCCTGCACTGAAATTCAATAACACGGCAGCAACCTTCTCAGCAACCCCTTGGTAAAACAAGGAGTGTAGAGAGTGTGCACCCTGTTTTGAAGCCAAATAGTGCTTCCATAAGCAGGAATAAACTGGAAAACAAGATGTGCACTAGCCATTTGTCTGAAAGGGAAACTGCTGTTTTTGTTTATTGCTGCTGTCCCACTAAATTTGGGATGCATCTCTCCCCCCTCCCGACCAGATTTCAGAGAAGGCCCTTGAATTGGTGACTTTTCGCCAGAAGGCAATCTGGGCAAAATTCCATTGCTTTTGGGATACTTCTTTGAATTGTCTTTTGTTTATCTAAAGTGGCATCATCCCTAATATGGCTAAAAAGAAGGAAGCAGCTCCACACTGTCTCTTCTTTTTTTTCCAGCCCCATATTAACTACCAGGAAAAAAATATATATATTTTTTCAAATCTGCATTGTTGTTGCTGTTGTTGTTGCTTTTTTAAAAAAAAGCCCCATGAGATTCTTTCTGTTCAGGATAGGTAATTGGAGCAAGATCTAGGACAGCCTTCAGCGCATCTCCTCTTCATGCACTGAGGCATCCATCTGTCTTGCCATGCCCGAATGCCCTTGTCATGTGCTATTTGTTCCATGGCCTGATGCCATAAAGCCTGTCTTTAAAAAAACAAGATGGTGCAATTTAGAGGTCTAGCCCATTGTGCTGAGTTCAACTTGCAGTGAAATCAAAAAGAAAATGGATAGCTGGTGAACCTGACAGTGTCTGGCTTTGGAAGCAATAACTGTATTAGATCCTGTTGTGTTCATTTGAACAACAGGCAGTCTTGATGTGCAGAGGGAACACCTCGTTCTTCAGCAAAGCCAGACCATTCTTCATGAAAGGAACTTCCTGACAGTGGTTTCCTTGTTTGCTTCACAGACTGAAGTTAAAGAGAGGTTATTTATAGTCTCTCCTGCTCCTCTCTCCTGGAACTAATTAATTATGAATAAACATTTAACCAAAGAGATGGCCAAGCATACATAACAGCAATGCACTGGACCTATTCATACTCAGCTGCATTGTATGTTGCAGGTGAAATCACAGTTCTTTCTATTTTCAAATCTCCATCTGAGTTCCCATGTTAGGGTCATTCCATTTTGAAAACATTTACTATTAAGCTACAATAAAACTGGGTTCTTGTTTTCACTACAGTCATGTGCAAAAATGTTTGCCACTGGTGGTCTTTAATTCCACTTACCATGAAAAAATGCTGGGAAAAATATAGGAAAGTACATTGCAGGTCCAGGTGCCACAATATAGGGACCTCTTTAAGCAATTCTATGGTACTGTATTTATAATTGAGTTACCCATTACCTTTCCAGGAAACTGCTATCATAAGCAAGAGGTTATCCAGCATTTCTTTCACATTCACAGAGATAAATCTCCAAATAACAGATTTAACTCTAATAAGACACCAAAATATGAATGCTAGACACAATATCCCATGAGTCAAATTCAGGAAATCTTTTACACTGAGATTTCCCTGTGATTGCAAACCCTCCAACAATGCATAAGAGATAACAGAAAAAACTGCATTCAGATCTACGTATGCACACATTGGTTTGGGTGCACATACAAGAATACCAATCTGCTAAGTTCACAGATCTTGGATTTATACTTGGATCACTTGAACAAGCTGTTCTCTTGCTAGTAAATGGCACACTGAGGAGGCATGATTTGAAGCAACTGTAGTTGAATAAGAAAAGCAATGATATAGAACAATAGTGCTTTTTCAAGAACTGCATTCCCCTGCAGATAAGAGGTTGGAGATGTCAGCAGTGGATGGGGGCAACTCATAGGTAAGCCAGAATCAAGATCTCACCCATTTTCCCCCCTTTCGTTTTCTGATACTCTCTTTTCTTTTTTGGCTCCTCTCTCTTCTTTTCTAGCAACTCACCAGGGAAAGAAAGAGAGAGGAGCAGGTTAATCTCATCAGGGGTCTGAATTCTTCATGCCAAGTGTTATTGAAATTAGGTTGAGGCCTTCTGCAATTAGGCTAGGGATCTGAAATTTTCCACCTTACTACTGTCTTAATTTCAAAAGAAGTGAGCAGGTCCAACGTATACACAGAACATGTTTACTTGTCCCTGCAGTCACGTTAGGTAGTCGGTGACTTAGTAACGGAGAATTTTACAGAAATAGTTGTATACAATGCATTAATCAGCAAAAGCTTCCCGTGGTGCATTCTTTAAACGCCTGACTGAGCAAACTGAATAGTGTGCCTATCAACATCCTTACCAACATATGCTGATAAACCCTCAGCAAAAACTTTTATAAAATGTGCAGATCTAGGCAACAATCAAAACAGATAAATAAACAATCACATATTTTCTAAGTGATTTCTCAAGCCTAGAACACATACCAACTGCTCTTTATACCCTCCCAAATCCAAAAAGCAGTTAGTGGTGTGGTAGTGGTATGGAGGTCTATGTGAGAGCTTTTGAAAACCAAAATAGGATGAATGCATTTAATTTGGGAGATATTAAAGAACACATGGAAGAGAGAAGGAGCTTCTTTGGAAGTGTCCTTTAATAACTTCATGTACACAGGTGGATAATGCAGTTTCACACTTTGCATTAGATCTGCAATTCCTGTGTAATACATGGCATTTAGATATTAGATTTCAGATGTTCATCTATGAGTAAAGTTCCAAAAAGCATTTTCATCTTTTGGCAAAAGAGAAAAACACATTTATCACTATACATTAAAGAAGTTTCAAGGTACCAAATACAGTAAATACAAGTTGCGGGCTCTTGATGCTCTTCAGAAGGAGTGTATATGAAGGAGAAGTCCTACTAGCATTTTATACATAAAGGAAAGAGAATGAAGAGAAATCCAAGCACATGAATACTATTTTCCTTACCCGACACACATACTGGCTCTGTGGTCCTGGGGAAAACGTTTTGGAACGGATTATAGTGCTGGCTCTAACAAAAGGAGTTCGGAGGGGGTTAGAAGCTCTTTTATCTTTTGGACGAACCACTGAGGAAGACTGGGCGACACTCTCTGTATTGGTCTCTTTATCCACCTGCAAAACAGAGACTCGTCAATGTTTTCTCCATCACCAACCTGTCCCATACATTATATTAATAGAATTCTTCATCTTTCTCCTCAATTATTATACTAATTTAATGTGTCACTGCCAGTGAGATTTATTTCATAGGGGTCAGCACTTACAAAAATAACTGTTGAAAAACAGATCTATGTCACATAGCAGAGACAGAAGACAAAATACTGCAGACATAATCCAACACAGAGTTAGCAAACCTAATCCCAAACCTGTTAATTTCAGTATCCTGTGTGCCCAAATCCATGTTGTATTTGGGCCCATAGAATTTAATGTTGATTTTTTAAGTAGGAATTTTGTTATCAGCCAGCTTCTGAATATGGCCTTCTATATACTTAAGCAAGCACAACTGTAATTAGCTTACAAAACTTATTTTAGGGAGGGGAGAATGCCATAAACAAGTAAATATAGGGACAGGAATTGGATTAGGATGAGACACATCTAAGCAGGAGAGTCACTAACATAACAGTATCTTCTGTCCATTAGCAATTTTTTAAAAATACAGAATTCAGGCAAGTATGTGAAGGCTAAACTGAAACTGGTACTGACTTGAGGGTTAGAAGCTGAGGAGACAGGTTGGCAGAAAGAAACAAAATGCTACTGAACTGAAAATACAGTCCTGTTCACCAACTTGCTGAATTTGCTTGAGAATACAGATAACTGTGCATGGAAGCATAAGTATAATCTGGTTTTGCCTATGCAAATATTGGTTTACGCTGACAATGCCATACCAACATACTGCATTCTTTCTCGATGATATGTTTCAGCTATTCGCAAGAGATAGACATTTCTAGCACGATTTGCCACATATCATTATGATGAAATTACATGGTTCAACTCTAATTTCAGAATCACTAACTTTCATTTAGTTCACAGCCTAATAATAAGTTACCAGGAGTTAAGATACTCAGTGAAATCTATGGATGATACACAACTAGCTCAAATAACTAGGCAAATAGGTTAAAACACACACACACACACCCACACACCACTTAGCAATATGGAAAGCCTGGCTTCCTCATCTCCTACTGCCTACCTTTTCTAACCTCCCATACTGCAAAATGCAGGTGATCATGTTGCAGTATCTGTGAGGTTATGGCTAGACATGTGTTGTGCGATGTGGAGAAAAAGTACGAATTCACAAGAGAAGAAAAAAAGGAAGCTCAGTCCCATTGCGTCAGGGGCAAAGCAAGGGTACTACAGCAATAGCACAACGCTTCAGTCAGGTCATTTCTAAACACCTGCCTACAAGGGACTTTGCTTCCCTTGCATTTTCCTTACCTTGATGACTGCTGACTTAGCATACGGCAAGGATGGCAGTGTCTCCTCTGTTTCCCATATTGTTGCCCCACCATAAAATTCTTCCTCCGCTTCTACTTCATCTTCACTGTTGCCGTCTTGCTCAGCATCTTCCTCGTCTTGCCTATTAAATAATAAAACCTCTATATAAACAGGCAGCATGGACACAGTAATGTTTATGTTCTTAAAGCTCAGTGTAAACGATAAAGATGATAAGAGTATAATAGCCGATTGTCTGTAAAAATGTAGATGTCCTCAGAAAAAAGTCAGATTTGTGTTTCTATTAAGTGGGACACAGGTTCTTCAATAAAAAAAAAATCGCTAAAAAACATGAGAAGAACTGTACACTTTTAATTTTAACCTTAATATGTCAGTTGAATACAAACACAAAAAAATGGAAGTTACAGAATTCCAGGAAAATTTTTAATCTGGTAGGTTTCAAATCAAGGATATTTTTTTAATGCAGTTGTCTGAGATAAGCATTATGACTGACATTTAATGTTATTAGATTTTGTATATTCAATGTATGCTGAAATGTACTCTTCCCAAAAATCATGCAGGCATCATTTCATAAAGGCTAGTGTGCTTTTCAAATATGATCTTGTAATATTAATGTCTTAACCTCTCTGTACCGTTGTGTTCTCGATTGACTTGCTTATCTGCTTCATTCCTACATGATGAGAAATTGACATACTGAAGGAATCATCTTCTGTGAAGAATCCAGGAGCTGGTTATTTTCATTAAAACCCCAGTCACAATAATGGCAGTACCTTTGCTACATGACACTTCCTCTAATCTAATCCTACTCTTTCGGACATGGTCATAAAAGGCAACACATAAATAGCACTACAGTGCTGTGATGCAGCATTTCATATAACTTACCAGTTTTCTCCACTGATCGTAGTGCTTCTGCTTTCTTCTAGTTTTTTTTCTACAGCTTCTAGTTCAACAGCAGTCTGTTCCAGCAGAGCAGATACAGAGTCCTGTGGGAATTAGTTAACAACATGATTACTTCTTAATGTCAGTGAAGTTTTCCAGAACTGAGGAACAGTGCGTTGCCACTTGGATACGTAGCTTAGCCAAAAGCAAAGCATAACATTTCCCTCGAGTAGTTCCACTTCACGCACACACATTTTCTCCCCTGTCATATTGCAGCTTGTGGAAAATACCATTTAATCATGGGCTTTTACCATTTTCTCAGTGTGTGGTAGTTTGGAAACGGTGTCCTCTGGCTCATTTTCACTGCTTTGCTTCTGTAGGTATTTATAGCTGAGGAGGTTATACCACCGCATTGACCTCTCTCCAGATCTGCAGATCTCAGCAAGACTAATTTGTGCACCTCCCTGTGGAAGCAAGAAACAAACAAAAGAAGATATTCTGAAGATGTCGACCCCAATGGACATTTTCAGGACATTCAAATGACAAGGAAAATAAATGCTGGGACAAATGTGTGTCCTTGAACAATACATACAGTTTCCTCCTCTTGCAATCTATGTATTCATAACTAATGATTCTGAGTTGCCATAATTGTGCAAATCAGTGTATGCTAGGGCACTTTGTAAGATGAGTTTACACAAATGGCACATTGTCATAAGTGTTGTTTTTCTGTAAGAGTGATATATGTCCACTTCTCAGATGCTTGTTATCTGTTATCAGCTGGCCCTTAGAAAAAGATCTCTGGAGAATAATCCTTAAATTGCTAGGAGAATGAAATTTGCACTCTCTGTCTCCCCACTCTATATATGTGCCTATAACACTCATAGACACACAACTGTTTGGGTAAATAATCTTGAGATTCTTGGCAAGGTACCAAAATCAGAATCAAATCTCTAGTCAAAACTAGCCTACATTGCAATATATGCCTCCAATTATTCTGGGTTTAGCACAATGTGAATCAATTTAAAATATTAAAAAATTAAAATTTAAGTGTTTTAAAATAAACAGTTCAACTTTAGCTCTGCATCACACAGGCACTGTAGCCTTTCTGTCTGCGGCACTGATGCAGCACTATGCCACTTAGAATAAAAAAGAGAAAAAAATTAACTGTGGACAAGACAGTTATGGACACGGACAAAATGCAGGCAAAATCAGAACAGACCCATGGACTGATCAAAGTGCCAAGCCCAAGATTTGTTTAAGGCCATTTAAATGCAGTATAGTCCTCTGCACCAAATCAACCCAGTTCAATTAAGGCTGCCCAATGAGGACAGGGACAGTGACACAAAAAGTATGTGACATGAATCGCTAGAATAATACTCTGACACAACTCTCATATTACTTGGGCAATGTAGTAGCACCCTGAGTCTTTTGAAAAGAAATGAAGTCTAATTTGTAGATTCATAACAACAGATGAACACCGAAATGAATACCATGCTGCTGTTAATGAAGACAGTACATATAATGATATATATTACCATGACAGTTTTAAAATATGTTTTTATACTAGCTTCCTGTTTTAAGTGCAACTGTTTGGTTGTTCCGTTAACTAGCTTGTTTTTAAGATGTTTCGTTGTTTGATAATACTGTACATTGTTATGTTATTCCTAGGTGTTATGAGCTGCTTTTTAAGGTTCTATTCTAAATGTATTAAATAAACATTACTACTCCTCAAATGTTTGTGACCATTAAAAACTATACAGAAAGCCCTAACTTCTATTGGTACATTGCATTATTCAAAATGCTAAGGGCTAAATGGAAATGCACTCTTTACAGAAGGTCCCTCTATCCAATGTTTCAAGATCTCACCTTTCACACCATGTTGTAACCCACCCCATTCAGCATGGTACCCTGTCTTGAGATTTTCAGGGTGCTGAAAAGGCTGCTGTGGGAAGGTGGAAGCGAGGAAGTGCACTTCCACCAGTTCAATGTGCATACCTAAATCTGGATTCAACCCCTGAAAGCACTGCCACGTAGTAGGAACCAACACTAACCAAGCACTCCTCAAGATGGCACTCATCCACAGTGCAGACGTCTACCCTTAAAGTCTTCTGACGTAAAACAGAATGAGGAATTGCAACACAAAATAATTCATTATATGTGAGAGTCTCTGATGCTTCCATGGGTCTTGTGCGGAACAAACAGCTTGTGCTTTCGGAAGAAGGAAGAACAGCCACACGCACACTCCTGTTGAAAAATACATGTGTCAGCATTATTTATGCAACACATTTGCCAAAGTGACAGGAAAATTTTTTTGCACAGTTACATTGTATACTCACAGGTCCTAAGGTGAGGAAACAAAAGTAAAAATGAAGAGACAACATTTCTTTTCCTTTCTTTTTTTCTTGCATAAGCTGTGTGTGTAAATATGTGCACACCCATGTACTTAGGCTTCGCCATCTTGTCTCTGGAGCCGTTCATCTTATGGACCAAGCCTACTCCAACCCTTGACCGCATGGAGTCTACCCATCCCTGCTCTACAAGTTTACTGCATATCTAAAGATTACTGCAATGCAAGCCATAGTCTTTGCACAGTTCATCAAAGTAGAACCTAGCAAGGGTTACCAGAAAAATCCAAAATCTAATACAAAAAAGAAATATACTCTTTTTTTGGAAAAATACAACAGTGAAAGGATGCTGTACTTTCTACTGCTTGGCTGGAAACAACTTCAATGTATATTTTGTACCCTACATTTGTTTTGATTTTGAATTCTGGCATTTTTTTTCTTTAAATCATGGAGAATGAAGTTTCGATAGGTTTCAATATTATTACTGAGCTGCCACAATTGCTATTTAGAAATTAGAGGTCTCGGCAGTTTATAAGAGTGATTAGCACTTCGAAAGCTCTGGGAAAGGTTACACAAAACCTCAATTTTTCACCTTGGATTTTTCTTCTTTCAACATTTGCACACAGATAGTAGAACACTGGCAAAGAATTAAGATGGGTCTCAGCATAATTTACATAAAACAAACAACAGCTTGCTGGAATCCTCTTATTAAGTGGAATAATTCTCCTCTTCCCCACAACCATTCATTAGCCCAGCCACAATATGGCTTGATTTCAGAGTGAGGTGATCCAGCAATGAATTATGGCAAATGCACACAATGCATCTGTTACTTTCCAGCCTTGACAATTTAACCATTCTTGTTGATGTTTTGATTAAAAACAGTCAAAAACAACAGCAACGCCTTTCACTGATGAAAAATGAATATGAAGAACCTTTACAAATGATATACTTCCTAAAACTCTCAGAGAAATATCTACAGTACAGTGTGTCTAGAATCACAACAGGCAAACCACCATGGTGATGCATTTGTGTTTTGCTAAGCTAAATGGAGCACTGGAAAGATAACCCAAGTTATGAAGTCCATTGGAGGATGTATTTTGACATTAATAATGAGTGAGGAGCATTTTGTGCTGTGCGTTAAATAGCAAAGACCAAATGGTAACACAGTAAATAATGCTGTGAAGCTAGAATCTAAGTATGTATGTGAAGATTCATTTGACAACGTGAATTCAGACTAGGCAACACCTTAGTTCCATTGAAATCAATGGGACCAAATAACTGTGAGTCTAACTTAAATTTCAATAGGACTAAACTACAACTTAGTCCTCAGGTAGAATAATACCTGATGAAGAAGACCCCAGCAAACATTCACAGGTTACTCTAATATGCCATTGCACTTACTTACACTTTCTGGTCTTGCTGTGGCAGCAGAGCAGGCACATTATTCACGTGTGCAACAAATATTGCAAATTGTTTATTCTTGTCATCATACCTGAATCAGAAAATAAGCACAAAAAAGAGGCAATTGTAGACAGTAATACAGTAACTCTAGTTAAAAAGGTGACTGTTCATATTGAACAACACTTAGACTTTCATGCTTTGTTGTTGTCTTCTGCTTCTGTTAGGTCCCTACCATTGTCCTTTATCATGCCCATCTTTGCACAAAATGTTTCTTTAATATCTCCAATTTTTTATTTGAAGAGATATTTGGTTTTTCCCTTTCTATTATTTTCCTCTGTTTCTTTGCATTGTTCATTTAAGAAGGCCGTCTTGTCTCTCCTTGCTATTCTTTGGAAGTCTGCATTCAATTTTCTGTAACTTTCCCTGTCTCCCTTGCATTTTGGTTCCCTTCTCTGCTATTTGTAAGGCCTCGTTAGACAGCCACTTTGCTTTCTTGCATTTCCTTTTCTTTGGGATGGTTTTTGTTGCTGCCTCCTGTACAATGTTACGAGCCACCATCCATAGTTCTTCCAGCACTATGTCCACCAAATCTAGTTCCTTAAATCTGTTCTTCACTTCCCCGGTGTATTCATAAGGGATTTGGTTTAGATTACACCTGATGGCCCAATGGTTTTTCCTACTTTCTTCAGTTTAAGCTTGAATTTTGCTATAAGATGCTGATAATCAGAGATATCAGTAGATATGTTTTGCATTTGATATTAAGAATGTACTCTTAAATATACAATAAACTTAACTGAACATAATGGGACTTCCAAGTAGACATGTACAGGATTAGGCTATAGAACAACATCACCCCACCCCATATATTGGCCAGCAATGTACCCTCTAATTATCAGTCCCACTAGGCACCTCTCAAACACACGGTTTCACCCTTGCATGTGCACGCAACTCCATCCCCGTGCATACTGGGTTCCATCATGCCTAGAACCTAATGCAATCGCTGCACAGAGAAAGAGAGATGTGTGGAGGGAAGCGGAGTCGTGTGCATGCACATGCACACCAAGCTTAGCAGGAACATTGCTGGCTGCTGAACACAATTAGGTTTAATCTAAGAGAACATGGTTAAGATTAAGGAGAGGGAAAATTTCTGCATTCTGCATCAAATGGTCTGGTTTAACCGGAATTGCTTTATTGGATGGTTCAAGCAACATACCAAACATACCAAACATGCAGTACCTGGTCAATTTCAATGTAGGATAGTTACCAGTATTGAATAAAGATACTAATTTAAAACAAAAGAAGCCACCTAGCTTACTTCATGGAAATCTGAACTTTAGCCGTGCTAGCTGCATCATCGTTGTCAAAAACAATTGATTCCGATACAAAAGACCTGAAAAAACATCAAGAGGATTTAAATAGGCATCATGCTATAAAGTTTATGTGGAAAGAACTTTTGTCAGCAAATCTAGAGAATTAGCACAGAGAAGCTCCTTTAAGATTGGCTGTAGAGTGAGAGCAGCATGTTGGCACCAGCTGAATGTCAGACACCCTGCAGCAACTGCTAAACTGAAGCTCACTTTTCTTTTTGCTAAAAAGCTGAACTATGGAAAAGTGCTCTTATGTCCAGAGGCTCTCTTATTCGCTCTTTCTTCTACAATACAAAAACAAGGATATTGTCAAAGGGCCTGCTTGGGACACTGCCTCTTTCTTTCCCAACTTCAGGATGTCAACAGGAGATCTTCTTAGTACAGCGAGAAGGGGATTAGCAAGGGCATAAAGGTTTCTGCCTCTGCTTGGTTATGTCAGATATAGATACTGAATCTTGACGGTTGATAAACCAAGTTGTACTGCTTATTGATAGCCTTTGGAAAGGAGGAGTATGGAGAAAGAATTTAATAGAATGCTGAGGCCTCGAAGGAAGCCGCCTAGAGTGGTCGTGTTGACC